AAGAGTATCCAAATGATATAATTTTTATCATTTTATCAATATTTGAAAATACTTGGAAAATGTGCCCATTGTAGACCAATCCACTTTAAGCTATATATTGATGGAATGTAACTATTACCTATCAATCAAGCGGCCATTTTTGTTCTGTCAGAATAATTTTAGCTTCTTTCTTTTTTTGAAACTTTTACTTCTGTTCCTGAAACAGCCTTGCAAAATTGCCAGTTTTAGACAATATGCCAGTCATGTGATTTTTTTTGTCTTTAGTAAAAAAAATGATCACTTGAATCTGGTTTATAGAATCATTTCATAGATAAATGTTATGAAAGGTAAAAAAAGATCGTTAAAATTTCATTGAACAAATTCAATAAAGAATTACAGTTGACAAATACATTAATTTTATGGATTTATAAATTATTTACCTGGAATTAAATTTTTACATGCCAGAATAAATTGGTGTTGCAGGAAGACAAAATTAATTTGAATAAAGAATGTTTAATAATAATAATAATAATACATTTTTAATAATAATAATTATAATTATAATGATTATAATAATAATAATCTAGTTTATATTGGCACTGTAAAATATTTATTCTTAGACAAATAAGCATAATGGTATAGGCCCTCTTGAATCCAAAACAATGAACATTTTCAAAAAACAGCAACAAAAAACAAAAACAAAAACAAAAAAAGTAAACTAAAAGTTGATTAATTCTTTGCTACAGGCAATTCAGTTTAAATGTTAGGATTCTGTCATCAAATTTAATTGTTAGTCAGTTGAAATATTTCCTTTAGGCAATGGTATTATGTCTGTTTCTTTATAAATGTAATTCAATGGTCAGAGTCTATGTTGGATTTAGAATAAATTGACATTGCATCATTCATGCCTGTACACCTACATCGGCTAGTCCTTACCTCTTCAGAAACTGCTTTTCTGTGTTGTCCTGTTGGCCCTGCCCATTGCTGTTTGTTTTAAAACATTAAACTGTCATATTTTAATTGGTGATGCTATCTTCTCTTCTGCTCCTTAATTCACCTGATTCATCTTTAATGTAATTTTCTTTTGTCCTAAATATTTACTGTTGTGTAGTCCCTCCAATTCTTCCTGCTGTACTTGACTTATTTTTTTACTTTTATGTATTCCTGTCATTTATTTTCTTGTCCAGTGCTGTCCTGTCCTGTTGCCCTATTCCTTTACCCAGTTCTGTTGTTTAGTCCAGTTGTCCAGGCCTGTTGTTTAGTCTACTTGTTTAGTCCTGTTGTCTTGACCTGTCCTGTTCTTTAATCTTTTTGCCCTGGGTCCTGGTGTCCAGTCCTGTTGTTTAATCTTTTTGCCCAGTCTTGGTGTCAGATCCGGTCCAGATGTCCTGCCCTGTCCTAACCTGTGGTCTGATCTGATTTGACCTGACCTATTCAATAACTAAGCTGTGTATCTTTTATAACACACAATTTTTCAAGTCAAGGCATTAAGAATTGTTATTACATTAACCACTATGGGTTAAAGCATGCTGTCTGCGTTTCTTGACACTTTCATGGTTCCCAGAAAAGCCTTTATAAAATATTGAATACACTACATTGAAATGCTCTGAAAATGGCAGTAAAATGTGGAGAGGTTGTAGAAAAGAGCGCTTCAGCTCTTGTAGATTCTAATTTTCTGAATTTTATGATGCGTTGACATTTCCTTTATTGGTTAAAATGTATTGACTTATTTTATAGAAAGATATAGATTAGATCCTAGTTAACATGAAACTATATACCTGTTTTACATCGTGAGTTTCATAGAGGAGTCTATTTTGAAATTTGTTGGTAGCAAATGTTATATGGTGTTAAAATTTCTATTTGTCATTCTTTTAAAGGGACTCCACTGAGTTTTTTTTTGACATGGAAATTGACTGGAAATAATCTTTCAAGAATAATGTTCCATTTGATGATAACTTTTTTTGTGCAAAATTTCATCATTCTCTCACTCATTCCATTTTTCCTGAATAATTATTCTTATTTTGTAAAATGACCCAAAACTCAAAAGCGTTGCAACGTTTTCATTCAAATCAGGATAAAAATAGCACAAAAATACAATTTTTTAATTTAACCTGGATATATATTTCTTAATTATCTTTTTCATATCTTTTTGTTTTAAGTGCCCCAGCTGATCTTTGTAGGAAATTAAAATTTATGTTTTTTGGCCTTTGGACCTGAGTGGAGTTCCTTTAAGAAAAATTTCAGCATATTTGCTAACTGAAGAGTGGACAGTGCAGACTGTGATCAAACAGCATGGATATGAAGGCTGATCTTGGTGTGCACTGATTGCATGGGTATATTCAGTTTCCGCCAGCAATCGACAAGCTTATTTTGGCCACACCCTGATCTTTAAAGTCACATACTAGTTCATGTGATCTGTGTAGTGTTAGTAAGTACTAAAGCCAATAGTAAAATTTGATACAGCAATTTGATATGTAAAACTGTATTAGATTGTAGTATAAGTATTTACCTATATAACTAGCCTAAAGTGGGCCAGTTTCAGCAATTTTACTGTAGTTATTTTTATATTAAGCTGATGATAAAAATGTCAAAAATGCTGGCTTTTTTCATACACTAGCAAATGTATAAGTCTAAATAGGTTTTAGTTCTAAATACAATGGATTATAAAAATCTTGATAATTTCTTTTAAAAATATTTTCTATTTATAATGTTTTTTCCAGGCATTTACACTATTGTGTTGTAAAAATTTTCTGTCTTGTTTAGTAAATTAATCATAAAAGTTTGGATATAAATTGTGGAGATATTTTGAAATAGGAAAAATGTTACAGGAAAATTATGGGGATATATTTATTATAACAGTAGGTATTTTAGTGAAAATATTTGCTGAGTTTATTTTAATGGAATGTTAATATGTATAATATATGTGTTATAATATATGTGTTATATGGGATAGAAGTGATGAAGTTGACCGCTAGCCAGTGACCTTATTAAATTCATCTCAAAATCATTTCTTTGGCTAATATTATACTCAGTTGAAATTGCACACAAAATTAACAATTTAATGACATCACTTAGGTGGCAGTTGCCTAGGGTGCGGACTTGGCAGCAAAAACTTAACAGGCTAACGGAGCCTCATTTACCATTGACTACATACGGTAATGGGGTGAAAGAATAAGATTGCGAACTCTGTAAGGTTGGGTAAAGGATATTCCAACTACCACAATGACCTTTCAACCAGCTACTTTTATGCATTAACAACTAAGCTGATTTGACAGAAACAGTTTTAAATATTTCTTAAAACACAAAAGTCATAATTGCTTTTATTTTTGTTGTGTTATTTACGTTTTATAAAGATTAAAACTAAGTACAAAACAGCGAATTTGTCTAATTTACTCATTTATGAGAGTTACTGTACGAACATGGAAATTGTACATTAATAATGTAAACATTAATATGAGTGATGCATAAATAAATATGAAAAATATGCAATTCAAATAAATGTCAAATTCATCTTTAAAGAACATATGTGACTCACATATTTCCTATGATGATTTTCAATGCAGAAATATTTGTTTATATAAATATTCAGCGATTTAGAGTTGCTGTTGAAGGAAACAGGTAATTGGTGTCCATCACCAGGGTCTGATTTTTGTATGAAGGAGAGACTCACATTGCTTCAGGTGTATGATGTTCACTGGTTCATGGCTGTGAGCCACAGCTGTAAGTTCAATCCCGACTAGTAAATATTTCCATGTCTCCCACTTGACTGCCCTCCGGTTTTTATGTGTCATATGTCTATAATGCTACAATATGTACAAAGATAAAACTTTCATCTAAAAAATGCTGCAGAGAAATATAATTGAGCCGTGTCATGACAAAACCAACATAATGGCTTTGCGACCAGCATGGATCCAGACCAGCCTGCGCATCCGCGCAGTCTGATCAGGATCCATGCTGTTCGCTTACAAACCCTATAGCAAGTAAGGAAACTGATAGCGAACAGCATGGATCCTGATCAGACTGCGCGGATGCGCAGGCTGGTCTGGATCCATGCTGGTCGCAAAGCCATTATGTTGGTTTTGTCATGACGCGGCTCATATTATGACATTTATGTGTAAAGAAACAAATTATGTGATAAAAATGTTTTATATAGTTTATGTCAGGTTCATGCCCTACCATTATTTAAGGATGTGAAAAGTCAGAGTTACTGTGACATGCTTAAGTGACTTGAGAGTATGAAAATTGTACTGAAATAAAATTGCAAAAATTGTAAATATGAAATGTTCTTTTTATGATTTATTTTGCATTGTGGTGTTCCAGGGGGTTTAACTTGTTGAGTTATGATTATCTCCCCTGACAGATGAATAATGTCCAGAGTTAGTATATTAATACATACTGAAGATGAAATCAGGATAATTACTTTAGAAAAAAAAACAACAACAACAAAACAACATGAAGATGAGTGACTATTGTCTATCCTCTAGGGTTTTCATTATTAACCGATTGGCGATCCAAACCATTGGTTAAAATGCTGCAGTTGTATATTTAAGTATCAACCTTGACCCTTGGCAAAATCGGTTGTTTTTTTTTTGAGCATCTGTTGCCTGAAAACCCTCTCCTTACAAAACAAAGTTAGTGCCTTTCAGAGCCCTTGTTAATTTAAAGTGGTCTTTGGCCTGATTCCCTCAGCTGGTAGGGAAATTCTACATCGTTTTGAAGAAAAATTAACATTTTGTTAATAACAATACTTATAAATACTTTTTGGAAATACAGGGGCGGGGAGGGTGGTATATTTTATTTAGGGAGGGAATGGGGCCGAATCTGAGCTGGAAATAATAACAAAAAAAAACACATGGAATGTCCGTCAGGGCCCAGACTTTAAAATTCAAAGTGCCATAAAAACATTTTAGAGCTACATTAAACTCACTTGAGGTTCTTCTAGAATAAGTTAGAAAAAAGAAAATTTAATGTTTGTTTATTGACATGGTTATATAACTTTTCCTCTGTTTATCTATTTTCAGAACCGTCCAAAACCAGTTGATCCGATAGATTATGAGACATATGTATTGAAGAACAAAGTACTCCTTCATAATGACCCGCATCGTGAATTGCTCATGTTCCCCTATGATGATGTACAAATTCCTGTAAGTATAAAATAAAATCCTAATTTGTGTACTACAGCAAAAGTCAGACATTTTATGAATACCTCTTTGAGAATACAGTGGAGCATCAAGTTGTCTGTGTACAGCAACATTATTGTCCTTCTGCCACAAATATAGCATTTTATTAAAGGATTTCAGAGATTAGATTTTTAGTAAGGAGGCTTTAATATGTCTTAACCTCAGCCTTTAAGGGTATACTTTGCTCATCCTTGAGTAAAATATTTTAATCACAGAAAATTGAAATCTTTAAAATTCATACTCAATAAATTGTCTAATTTGAATAAAAGAATGAATCAAAATAAGTATTGACAGCTGCGTTCCCTATTACAGGTCATGTTATGTTGGTCCTTTCTTAAAAAAATTGCCAGTTGTTTTAATGACACTATAATTATATTCATATTCTGACCACCTATAGTGTATAGAGTTTTTCTCAAATTTGATTTTTCTCAGAATATTAAAAATGTATCTTTTATTTTATTTTATTGACAGGCCCCGACTCCTGCCAAGAAGATCCGTACCGTTCATTCCACCGTCCCCAAACTGTCCAATGAGAAGTCAGGAAATCTTCTGGTTGACGAGTGTCTACATACGTACACAGACACTTGTCACATGGTCCAGTTTAAATATAGTAAATACTCTGGCGGTTACCAACAATTACCCAAGTAAGTGTAAAATTTAATGATGCCTGATAAATTAATTTAGCTTTCATATTTGCATGAAATTAAAATTTTATGTATTTTGGCTGTTGGACCACAATGCAGTTCCTTCAAGGTCAGTTCAGATAATGTGTTTAAAGCATGTGTATTGGCTTTGCACGGTTTTCGTGATTTAAAAGGAGTATTCTGGCAAACTAGACTAAAGTTCAAAATGCAATATTGACTTAATGCTTTCATTGTTTTTCAACATCTAAAATATCACTCACAGTCTTGCTTTATTATATCATAGCTTAATTGTACATAAACATCTCATATAATATAATTATGATTTAAATATATATATATAAATATAAATATTAGTATAAATATAATGCAAAATGAAAATCTGCCACATAAAAAACCACATCAGTAATAGTTTGTTTACATCTGTTTTCCATGAGATTTCATCATGAATAAATTGTGAAATCACAAATTGAGATTCAGAACTGAAGTTGTATTGTAACATGCAGTAGGCGTTTTCAACATCTTGATAAAGATTATAGAATAATATCTAACTTATATAATACAATACAGTCAAACCTTTGTTTAAATCTTATCATGCTGTATTTGTAATATGGACTTTGAATTGTAGAGTAGTCCATTAACTATTTAAAGAGATCTTGGTATCAAAATAATATCTAATAAAACTGTGTAGTCAGTAGTAAATGTCTCTCTGAACCTAAATTTGGTTTTCATCAAGTTTACCCAGTCAAAGGCAGACATCACTCCATGGTCTTTTAGTGTATAAAGCTACAAAATGTGCATACATTTATTCTAAAATTTATGTTGCAAGATCAAAATTGTGATAATTAGCAGGCACTGTATATGTATAGCGTTCAGTCTGTCCTGGCTCTAAAATGGCCATGCACATTATTGCCGATGTTTTTCAGAAAAATACATGAAATGAGAGCAAATGTGGTTCAGAACAGTTGAATATAAAGTCAGTTTACCTGTGAATAGCAAATATTTGATAATTTTAATGTTATTGTGTATTTAGTTGTTTGTTTATTTTTTTATGTTTTTATGTCAATTAATGTATTTGACTGTTTCAGCATAAGAAAACCAACCAATTTACCAGACCAGGTATTTGAGATAGACACAGAGATGGATGAGAGAGATGTTGAGGTATGTTGAGATATAAACTTTATTATTTTTCAGAATAGAGAGATTGATTTTACTCACCCACCGGTAGTATTGTCATCACACTTTGGTGAAGTTTTTGCGTGCAAGTTTGTATCTTCTAAACAATTAAAAGATTGGTTTGGTTTTCATACTCTTATTTAAGAGCATAATTGGAGGTCTTTATCCAAGGCCCATAACTCTATCACAAATTTTGATAGAATTATTGCCCTTTTGAACTTCAAAAATTGTACAATATCCAGGTTTTTGTTTTACTATCAAACACTTACAATAGTCAAGCACTCTGTGTTACTGACAGCTCTAATTTTGCTTTAGAAATTCTACAAACTCTAATGGAATCAGGGGAAAATGCAAATTTTGCTATAAAGAAATCTATGAAAATTGATGATCATATTATATAATCAAAGATATACATGTATTGAATTCTATTGGAGTATAACAAGAATGGTTTTCTATGTCTAAAACTATTTTTAAGAGTTATTTAAAAAACTTTAAAATTTTGTCTGTAATATAAATTTTATTTTCAGGACTCACTGAGTAGAAGTTATTCAAGTGCATCAGTAACTCAACCAATAATAACAAAGGCTGGTTGGTTATACAAAGGTCCTGAAAGTGGGAAAGATACTGTGATAAGTTTTACTAGGGTAAGAATAGGAGTTTTATCAATTCAAATTATAGTAGGGCTATGTGACAGCGTATATACTTATATGTTTTGCATGTATTTTCTTATTTAATGTCATATCTCATGAACCATTAAAGATATTTGCTTGTAACTTCACACACATGTCTTTGAGTTTATGATAGGAGGTGTCTAAGATCATAAACATAACATGAATTTTTACAAAATTATAGCCCTTTGTGAAAAAAAACTTAGTGGAAGTTTTACATGCAACATCAATCTTCAAAACTATTGAAGGTATTCACTTGATACTTAATACATGTATTTGAAATCATAGATAAAGGTCACTTACCAAGGCCAATAACTATGGCATGGAATTTGTCTGACTTATGAATGAAATATGGCTTTTTCTTAAATTACAAAATTATTTGGTCAATATCAATGAGTCAGAACTTTTTTTATATATTGCGTATGAAATGTTCTTGTTTGTTCATTTCTACATTAAACAAGGCTATTGTTGACTATTAAGCACGCAGACCCATTATGTTGGTTTTGTTGTGACGCGGCTCAATTATGATTTTAATTTGCAGCAATTTAAGAGAAGATATTTCTGCATCAAACAGCAAGGTGACCAGACTTATAGTTTAGAATTCTTCAAAGATGACAGGAAAAGTGAGGCAAAGGGTGTCATATTCCTTGACTGTGTCAACGAGATTGGCAAGGTATGATGATATTATCTTAACCTACCGTTTCAGGGGATGGGTAATTTTTGGGAAGCTTTTATTTTCTAGTCATTTTTTTTATTTCATAAAGCTTATTGGCCATTTTAGTCATCTTCATTTATTATTTTCTGCAGACCAGAATTTGTTACCACATAAGTTCATGCAGCCTGTGATTCGCCAGTTTAATATAAGGCACCTGTTGAATTTTGAAAGGAAACAAAAACTTTGTAAAACTATATTGTCTGTGTGTCATTGTTGAACAGGGAGTAGTGTTTTCATTAAAAAAAATTTCAAGACAGTCAAATTTTAATCCAAAACTGTCATTTTTGGTTTTATGACATACACTGTACAACAAATAATGTTTTGAGGCAACCAAAAGTCTACCGGTTATCTCATTTGAGCCTCTAAACCACCTCTTACTGCCCAACCTGAGAGAGTAACTTTATTATAATCAAACACCTGCTGTCAGCCTGTGTTTCTTTTATATAGGAAACAACAACAACAATACTGCAGCAGTGCTTGATTACTTTTAAAGGCATTATAAAATTACACTGTTGTCTCTTTGTTTCAGAATTCCAAGAAAGGGAAGCATACATTTGAGATAAAGACACCAGACAAGACGTACCTGTTTGCTGCGGAAAGTGAGGCCGAGATGGAAGACTGGATAAAAACTCTCGATAAAGTTCGAACGGCCGCTGAAACTCTCTCACAAGTCTCACTAGAGAGAGGAAGAGGTGCGGTCCTATTGGTTTATATAAAATCTGCATGGTGTGCGACAATAATCAGAATTTCATGATTATTTTTTAAAGATCCTGTATGTTTTGTGACTGATATTGTTACTGTGTGAATACCACACTTAAATATGTTATATAAAGTATTATATAGTATATAATAATGCAAATTAAACAATTTTCGAACATCGAAGAATATGTAAAATGTGTACTGCAAATATTTGTGCACATTATATTGAATCAATTAATTACATGCATTCTTTTCTTATTGGAAAGTTTGACCTAGAATTTTTAGAAAATAAATTTCAAATTACCTCCCTTTATTTACATGAAATGTTAACTTGGGTAATATCTTTATAAATAATGCGTATTGGAACTTACAAAATTGAGAAATCTTAATTTGAGCATCATATTTATGAAATAAAACCATGAATACATTGTGTTACAGGATCTTTAAATATCATATGATATAAATAAAGGAATATTTTCATTAATAAGCTGCAAGTGTATGTATATAGATAATCATGTTTCATACTAAGTAAGCAATGATTTAAGAATAATGATTTTAGAATAATGAATACTTGCAAAAAGTATAAATATGTAGTAGATCTTTTAGATATTTAGGAGATTTAATGATAAACAGCAATCTGCTTGCTTTTTTAGCTCACCTTGCACAAAGTGCAGGTGAGCTTTTAGGATGGCCAACCAAATGGCGTCCGTCGTCCGTCCACATTTTAAATATTCTAAGGACATCTTCTATGATACCGCAAGGCCAATGTTAATGAAACTTGGCAGGAATACTCTTTGTATGAAGCTCTATCAAGATTGTTCAAAGAATTCCATTTCATGCAGAACTCTGGTTGCCATGGCAACCGAAAGAAAAATCTTTAAATATCTTCTTTTAAAGAACCGTAAGAGCTAGAGCTTAGATATTTGGCATGAAACATCTTCTAATGAGTGTCTACCAAGTTTGTTCAAATAAAAGCCCTAGGGTCAAAATTGGCCCCGCCCCAGGGGGTCATTGATTTTCCCTTTATGCATATAGTAAAAACTTAAAAAATCTTCTTTTAAAGAACCCAAAGAGCTAGAGCTAAGATATTTGGCATGAAACATCTTCTAGTGAGTGTCTACCAAGTTTGTTCAAATAAAAGCCCTGGGGTCAAAATTGGCCCCGGCCCGGGGGGTCATTGATTTTCCCTATATGCATATAGTAAAAACTTAAAAAATCTTCTTTTAAAGAACCGTAAGAGCTAGAGCTTAGATATTTGGCATGAAACATCTTCTAGTGAATGTCTACCAAGTTTGTTCAAATAAAAGCCCTGGGGTCAAAATTGGCCCCGTCCCAGGGGGTCATAGATTTTCCCTATATGCATATAGTAAAAACTTAAAAAATCTTCTTTTAAAGAACCCAAAGAGCTAGAGCTAAGATATTTAGCATGAAACATCTTCTAATGAGTGTCTACCAAGTTTGTTCAAATAAAAGCCCTGGGGTCAAAATTGGCCCCGCCCCAGGGTCATTGATTTTCCCTATATGCATATAGTAAAAACTTAAAAAATCTTCTTTTAAAGAACTCAAAGAGCTAGAGCTAAGATATTTAGCATGAAACATGTTCTAATGGGTGTCTACCAAGTATGTTCAAATAAAAGCCCTGGGGTCAAAACTGGCCCGCCCCGGGGGTCATTGATTTTCCTTATATGTGTATAGCAAAAACTTAAAAAATCTTCTTTGAAAAAACCCAAATAGCTTGAGTTTAGATATTATACATGAAACATCTATATGTAAATATCTACAAAGTTTGTTCAAATAAAAGCCCGGGGTCAAAACTGGCCCTGCCCCAGGGGTGTCATTGTTTTTAAGTATATGTGTATAGTAAAAACTTAAAAAATCTTCTTTTAAAAAACCCAATGAGCTAGAACTTAGATGTTTAGCATGAAACATCTTATTGGTGTCTACCAAGTCTGTTCAAATAAAAGCCCTTGGGTAAAAATTGGCCGAGGGGGGGGGGCTATATACAGGTGAGCGACCTCAGGGCCATCATGGCCCTCTTGTTTTCTCATTCATCTATTTTAATATGATATTTTGTCACAAACTATTTTGTAAAGATAAATTCCATATTAAATTGATTTGGTTGAATGGATCCTATAGTGAGATTGAGGTAGCCTTCAGAATTGTCCCCCTACTATAAAGTTTTCAAATTAACTTATATTGTATTCCAAAAATAGATATAAAATATCTCAATACAAAAATGGCCAATAATCTTTTATAGTAGGTATAATAGATATATTTTTTTCTGTGTTTTAGATGAGATTTTCTCCCCTGGCAAAATAGATGATAAAGCAATAGAAAATATGGTTCATCCTGAATTAACAAAGGTAATGGCTGTTTTCATTAAACTATATTATTTATAGCTTGTCTATTTGAAGAATAGGGAGAGCTATTGTCATCAACCAGGCGTAAGTGTAGCAGTCACTCTTTAGTTTAGTTTTGGTCTGAAGTTGGTATCTCCAAAACTACTGAAGTGAATGATTGAAAATTTCACACATATGTTCTCTGTGACTATCTAACATGCTGAGCATAGGTCCCATAACTCTGAGTTACCTATTTACAGACTGTCAGAGTTATGCGCCTTTCCTTTTTGTCATGCATTGAGAATAGTCAAGTATGGCTTTTTTTTTATCAGGCCCACTTTTTAAGCTTTACCAAGCATCTTAGTTTATCATGCAATTATTTTTATTCCTCCAAATAGCCATGCAGTCATGTTCAGGCTTTATTCTGACACCAATGTGTAAATGTATAAGCTTGTCATGAAGCCTATTGTTATTTTATAGTGAGGTTATATATTATTTAGATTATTTACAATTTACTGTTAGATAATAAAAGAAAAGTGTTGATATAATTCTGCATGTTGTTTCTTTATAAACTTGAAGTTTTGGATTTGTTACAGTATGCCAAAGAATCAGAGTCCATGTTGTATAAGGCTAGACAAGATGGACGACAGAATCTCTTTAATCTATATGCCAACATGGCTGTAAGTATTTTAAACCTTTCCTTTTTGTTAAGAAATGATAGAGTATCTTAGTAAGTATAGTGACGTACTAGGATATAGGTGGAGATTCTGAGCAGTAAAGTAAGAGGAGCAACTGAGCAGGTTAGTGGGTGGAGCAACTGAGCAGGTTAGTGGGTGGAACAACTTAGCAGGTTAGTGGGCGGAGCAACTGAGCAGGTTAGTGGGTGGAGTAATTGAGCAGGTAAGAGGGTGGAGCAACTGAGCACTTAAGCAGGTAAATCAACTGAGCAGGTAAGTGGGTGGAGCTACTGAGCAGGTTAGTGGGTGGAGTAATTGAGCAGGTTAGAGGGTGGAGCAACTGTGTTTGTTAGTGGGTAGAGCAACTGAGCAGTTAAGTAGGTGAATCAGCTGAGCAGGTAAGTGGGTGGAGCAACTGAGCAAGTAAGTGGGTGGAGTTAATTAGTAGGTTACAGGGTGGAGCAATTTAGCAGGTTAGTTTGTGGAGCATCATTGTAGGTTTGTCTGAGGAGCATTAGAGTAGGTTAGTGGGAGGAGCATCATTGTAGGTTAGTTGGTGGAGCATTAGAGTCGGTTAGTGGGAGGAGCATTAGAGTAGGTTAGTGGGAGGAGCATTAGAGTAGGTTAGTGGGTGGAGCATTAGAGTAGGTTAGTGGGTGGAGCATTAGAGTAGGTTAGTGGGAGGAGCATTAAAGTAGGCTAATGGGTGGAGCATTATAACAGCATAGTAGTTGTAGCAGCAGTGTAAGTTGAAAGAGCAAATACAAATGTATGTTAAAAGAGTATTAAATTTTTTCCATTTGCAGAAAAAAAAAGTTAAAATAAGTAATTTTCAAAAAGATAAATGACATTTTTTTGTCACAATTATAAAACAATTCACAGAGAAAAGATGTTATCAAAGTTTACAGAGGAAATGTTTTTACCTACCTCTGCTAATTTTTGTCATTCTATTAGAAATCAGTGATATATATTTTTGTGTGCTGTATTCTGATTCAGATAAGCACTGATATTTTGTATTTCAGAAATATATAGATGATGAGGAAGAAGATGATATAGGGCCAGAGGTTGATGTTTATCCGAAACAGTTTGGCGAGAGATTTATGTTACGACTTTTAGATTTCCACCTCAAGTTACAGGTCAACCTCGCAGATGAAGGTCAAGGCAATAAACACTGTAATGTAAGTATGCTTTATAACATGACAAATATTTATAACCCCACCATATAAATGCTCTATGATTTTATATTCTTGAAGGACTTTCTTCTTAACATGTCCACCTGAACAAGGCAGTGTTTGAGATACTATGCCACCAAGAAGAGGAAGTTTGCTGTATTATTAATTTGTTATAAATATTCCTGACAAGTTATATGACTGTATATAAATGGTTATTTTCAATATAACCATCGCATAGCGGTTATATTCCAAACAACCATTTATATAGGGCCATATAACCTGTCAAAACTTTTATTTGTAATAAAAAAAGTATTGCTGTTTGCAATGTTGTATATTTAAAGTTATGCCCCTGGTTAAGCACTATTACTATAAAAGTCTATTTATCTTGATCTGGTTTATTTATTTAGCAGCATTTGTCAATATTATGTCTTTTATCATTATTATAGCCTGAACCATTTTTCCTGACCTTCACCTTGTATGATGCCAAAGATGGTAGGAAAATATCAGAAGACTTCCACATGGATCTCAATGAACCGGAGATAGAGAACATGGTACCTGCTGATATTGTGTCTGCTTCAGACAGACTACATACTGTCGAGGGAAAATCCTCAACACCGGAACTAAATGGCTTAGATGAAAAATGGCTACTTTCAAAGAAAAAACTGGTGATAATTTATATACAATAGATTTTATTCTGTGTGCTTTGTAATTTAATTACATGCTTTTTCTTATGACAATTTTCCATGATGTTTCATTACTCATTGCTATGGTTTTAAATCCAGCATTGGTGGCCTTAAACCTCTTGCACCTAACTGCTGTGAGGTCAAATCGCGACAGGTTCTTTGGATTCTTTCATGTGTGGAAGCTATCCAGCTGGCTTACAGAACATTAGTGGTTCTACTCATGTGCCCGTTCATTCCTGAAATAATGCACAGAAGGGCACTTGAGGTCTTCCTCCACAAATAAAACTGGAAAGTGGCCATATGACTTATACTGTGCTGGTGTGACATTAAACCAAAGATCAAGGAATTTATCCAACTGTCTGTGACTCCTTTAGTCTTCCCCCATGATTAAAGATGGAAAATCTCCATATGTCTCACACTTAACTTACTATTCTATGTAGATTTCTAACACAATTTTGCGAACTATTTCTTGATATTTTATTATTAGTTTTTATTTACTCATATTATATTGAACTCATTTTATTTCTTGTATTTACCTGAACTATTTTATGGATGCATAACTATTTGATTTATATTAAACAAGGGACTACTTTATTTAATTAATACTCGTTATGATATTTCATGTATTTTTTACAGGGACTATTTTCTGTGATACGACGACATTCAGAGATATACCTGTATGTGAAGATAGAGAAAGTCCTACAGGGCCCTATATCACAGTCGGTTGAGCCGTACTTGAAGGGTTCTGACCCTAAAACTGGCAGCAAAGTGTACAGGCAGATGAAACAGTTCTGTTCTCATATAGGACATCATAAAATGCCCTTTGCCTGGTCAGCCAGGTTAGTTACATATGCATATACTGTTGTAGGTTATATTAAATCTGTTGATAAAGTGATTTAATGAATGTTTCAATGGCAATGAACAAGGTAACTGTTAAATGGACAACATTTTTAAATTCAATGGATTTATTAGATAAGACAGTTTTCCTTGGAATTCTTTTGATTGGAGTGTAATAATTGAAATATTTAAAAAAAAAATCAAGCAAACAAACCAAAAAAAACTCAGAAAAAATGGAAATCATGTGTCAGTATTGAAAAGAAATATGGAAGAAAAATTCATTGGTGTTCTTTATACATAACATGCATTAAGTGAGCATTATTTTCATTTGTCAAAAAAAATACAGTTATGTACGAAATTATCATATGTTTTAATATGTTTCAGACGTCTTTTTTCAAATGCAGGTTCAACCAAACATAAACAGTAAAACAGTTTCTTCAGCCCAGCAATATCTATCCTACCTGATTTAAAGCAATACAAAAAAGCACTAAGTAATCCCTCATTGCACACAAACTTATATTTTTATATTTGTTGTTAGCCTAGTATTTTCCTTTTAAAGTTTTATACTATTACAAAGATACCTGTATATCATAGTTATCAGCAGTGTGTTATAAATAACGAGATATTAAATAAAATCCAAAAATATATGAGTTTATTTGTACTTCAGATGCTTGTGGCTGAAGGGGTCTTTGACTTGTTGATGCATTAGAATTTCAGCCATCCTTTAACCCTGCGTGATCGTAAGAGGCAACTAAAGGGTTTGAATTACTGGAGTCTATGCATCTCTTAGCTCGAGCATGTGTGATAAGGTTTTGACTCCCTGGTGTTGCTTAAAGTTTGTAACACCCAAGGTTAGCCAAACAAAAGCCAAAAAAAGTTGTCCTGTTATATTTGGTCAGTTTACCATAACCATTGTTGCAATATCAACATTCCATATCCCTGTATTTGAAGAATTTTCCCTCTGCTATTGCCATCAATAGTAAGGGTTTTAAATGATGTTGATTTCTCAGTTATCACTTTTCTTGATCAAAAAATAATTCATGAATCTAAAGTTTTTGTACAAAATTTGTTGTTATTGCCTTAGACTGATTTTGTTTTGCTCCAAAACCATTGCCCAATTAAATAATTATACCAACAACTATTACCTTGTATCCTTCATACTTTTGTTTCCATATAGAAAGAAACATCTTTTGTAAAACAAAATGAAAAATTGATCATGTGGAATAATTTACCCGAATTAAAAGACAAAGTGTTCCTATCCTAAAGAAATACATTACATGTTGGCTTGTTGTTCCATGGATCAAGGACATTCTTATTCTTTTCTCCATGAGAACAATATAATTTTTTCCAGGAAAGCAGTTGGGAAAGTGAACTGAATATATATTATATATTTCTTCCGTCATATAATAGCAGCAATGAATGGCTATTAACAAATCGTTGTACTTTAATTTAATAGACTTAACAACAGATTGTAGTAATTGTCTTATTAAGTGATTATTTATTGTTTCAGACCTCTAGCTACCAGCAGTTATGGCCCCTGTGAGTTACCAATTTACAAACAAGAAAGTTCTAAAATGTCAGAAGATGAGATTATTAAACATCTGCAAGATTTAAGAAGGTACTTTTTGTGATATTTTGACATTTCATGTAATCGAGACATTTATTTAGATATATGATATATAGTAGTAATTTGCCTGTTTATATAAATACTGTAGCATAGATAGATAGCTAACTGTGATTGAGAAATTACTCACCATGATTGAGTGTGTTTGAGAATTAACTCACCATGATTTAGTGTGCTTGAGAAATATCTAACCATGATTGAGAAATTACTCACCATGATTTATTGGATAGAGAAATTACTCACCATGATTTATTGGATAGAGAAATTACTCACCATGATTTATTGGATAGAGAAATTACTCACCATGATTTATTGGATAGAGAAATAACTAACCATGATTGAGATATTACCCACCATGATTGAGTGTAATCGAGAAATAGCTGTGATTGAGAAATTACTCACAATGATTTGAAATAACTGACTGTGATTCAGAAATATTTATAATTTATAGAATAATATTTTTCACTTCCTTTTCATTTTAAGTCAGTAAATATAAGATGAAACAGAATGAAACACATTGGTGTTACTTTCTGAAAATAAAAGAATTTTCAAGGAAATTAACATTCATTACATTGTTTATTAATGACCTTTTTCGGGTGTTTAACTAAAATGTTCACGTAGAGTTTTAGAAATTTACAAAAGCTGTTTATTTGACCGTAGTCTTAGGTACAAGTCACCTCCTGTGACACTACGACATAGGAAGACTACCGACGAATTCTTTTCTTTGAAGTAAGTTACCATGGCAACAGATATATAATTTCTAACTTTAACCCTTACAGCGCCCCCAGTGTCTAGAATGTTAAACTTTTTAATGTCAGTGTATGGCCGTGTCAGGCTGCACATTCTTTACAGTCTGTCCTGACACTATACAATACATTGATTAAAGTGACATTTTGCCCATTCAAGGCTATATAGTGATTAACAGATGAAAGTCAAAATAAGTTTTCATTTTTGCCATAATTCCTTATAATTGAATAATTTACTTTGCATAAACAATAAATAACTCACATATCTTAAGGAAATTTCTGTAAATATCCATTGGAACTCAACTGTAACGTTCAGTTAATAAGAAGAGTGGGCGGTCTTTATATTATATTATATATTTTTGGTTAATATTTTATCATAAAGCCTCTCCAATATCAGCCAATCTTTAAAATATATTAGTCAGTTCAGCTCAACTTGACAATGAAAAAATGAGCATAATGTCACTTTAAAAGCATCCAAATAATATAATGCTAAAACCCCTTTTTTAATCAAATTAAAATGTCTGTAACGTAATTAATGAAGTAAATTCAATAACAATCAGTGGTGAAAGGGTTATCTTGCTGTTCTTTCTCAAACATTTTGTGAAATTTTTATTATTTGGAGATATAATGCTACATGTATGGCATGTCTTGTATATTTTATAATCCCAAAATATTGCGACTTCATGTATATATGAGCTGCGTCACGACAAAACCAAAATATAATGCTACAACCTGTTTTTTAATCAAATTAAAATGTCTATTATGTAATTAATGAAGTCAGTTTAATAACAATCAGTGGTGAAAGGGTTTATCTTGCTGTTCTTTCTCAAACATTTTGTGAAATTTTTATTATTGGAGATATAATGCTACATGTATGGCATGTCTTGTATATTTTATAATCCCAAAATATTGCGACTTCATGTATATATGAGCTGCGTCACGACAAAACCATGCGACCAGCATGGATCCGGACCAGCCTGCGCATCCGCGCAGTCTGATCAGGATCCATGCTGTTTGCCATCAGTTTCTCTACTTGTAATAGGGTTTGTAAGCGAACAGCATGGATCTTGATCAGACTGCGGTGATGCGCTGGCTGGTCTGGCTCCATGCTGGTCGCAAATGTATTACGTTAGTTTTGTCGTGACGCGACTTCATGTATATAAATTGATATGCATGCTCTTTCAGATATTATATGTAAACATTTAAATTCTGTCTAAAACTTTTTGCTACATGATTTTTTGTTTAAATGGTTTTGTAATATGCAGTTCTTAGTCTTTTGAAATTTTAACAATGTTTAACAAAAAGAATCATTGTTTTAACATACATGTATAACTTGAAATGTTACTTGCATGGATAAAGTTTTTCTTTTCCTGATTTTTATGTATTTTCTCTTTAATTCATTCTTATTTGATTTAAGTAATACATAATCAATGGTTTTGTTTATGAATGAATAATTATGCATTGCATGTTATTAATTAAATTATAACATAAACCACAGCGCAGAATTGTAATAAAGCCATTTATCGCACACCCGTGCCGATTTTGCGACTTCGTAAATATGGTATTGCACGGCTGTGCATATATTTTGATGTGACGTCATTAGCGTTATACAAACATAGTGTAAAGACGCGCTAAATGTTAGCATTGTACTATAGGCGTGTCAATGAAAAATGACTCTTATTTCACTTTAAACGGTCTTTATTTTGGGTATGTGATAATTAGAATATTTAATTTGTGTAAGTTCATTACTGAATTTATTGCACTATCGCCAGAGGCTCGCATATTATAATTTTCTTCAACTCGTGCAATAAATTCAGTATTGAACTTACACTCATTCAATATCCTCTATTTAATAAAAGTTGATGTAACATCATTTATGCATTACAAAAAATAGCGTATAAGCATGCTTATGTTAACATTACACTATATGCGCAGCAATGAAAAATTACTCTTTTTTTCTGTAAACTGTTCTTATATTGGATATGTGGTAAATAAAATATTATATTTGTGAAGATTTGATACTAAATTGATTGAACTATTGAACTTATTATTGAACTTGTTGAATAAAACAAAATTTTGCTATCCAGAGGCTCGCATAATATGATTTTATTCAACTTGTTCAATAAATTCAGTATCAAATCTACACTCATTATTATTCTCTATATAATTGCAGGTGTTATTTTTTTATTGGTTTTTTTTAACTTTTTTTGCGTAAGAAAGTCAATTGCACAATTGTTACCAACTTATTTTTAGATGACATGTTACTGTAAACAGTGATTATTTGACATGTGATACCATTATTTTTTTCAAGACTTCTAGACCAATAATATATGTCCAAAATCATACACTCACACAGTTTTTATATATACATATATGATTTATTTTTTATTTTTAGACCAGAGAAACAGAGTAAATGGCAGACAATTCCTGGTGTATTGAAGATTAGTCTTACACCTTTAAAAGCTGATCAACCTTTAGAGAGTAAGTGTGCTGTCTTGTTTTATATATATTTGATGATCTCTTACTATTGTATGTTTGAATAGGGTACATGTATATTTTGTATCAAGAATTTGCAGAATTCACTAATCATGCTATGGGTTGAAATCATAAATTCAATACTGAAAGTTGTTTTAGAATAGTTTTTTTTTTGCCCAGTTGATTTTATCAATAGGCCACTCTGGTTGAGATCATAAATTTTGTACTGAAAGTTGTTTTAGAATAGTATTTTTGCCCAGTTTCTTTTATCAATAGGCCACTTTAATATTCCTTTATTTGCTTTCTTAATAAGAAAAAAAAATACAAAAACATTTCATTACCTAAAATATATGTGGTATGAAAAAAAGATATTTTCAAATTATCAACATTGTTATGATCTACAGTACTGAAGTAAGTACTTTTGATGAAGTTTTACATTGCTTGATGTATTTCCAGTATTTAGCAATTATTACCTTATTGAATTGTTTATTCCAAATTTTATTTCAGATACTGTGACATCATCTTATGTCCCTGTAAAACCATTCCCCAGTCCACCTATCCAGCCACCAGCTGTTGAGATAGAGGAGTTTATACCAGAGAAAGGACAGTTCAACAATCCACATAATTCTTATGTTAACAACATATATGTGTACCCTATCAGCCTTAAATATGGCAGTCAAAAAACGTTCACAAAGGTAAATATTCTAGTCCCGTGAGGTCATTTGTGAGCGAAAAACAGTCTTAGAAAGTGTTTCTGAAAGTAATATACTTTACATTGGAGAATCGAACCACCACAAACATTTATGTGAAGCTTTTAACTATCTGTGGGTATTTAAAACAGAAAGTGTGAGCAGCAGTTGTATGTTATAGTGTCTGCATTTCAGGGATTTAACTCACTAGTGTGTTGGAGCGTTAACGCTTGCAGAAATCATGATTACAATGTAGGAAAATATCGCTTTTTAGCTCGACTTTTCTATGAAAAGGGGAGCTATCCTACTCGCCCCGGCGTCGGCGTCACACCTTGGTTAAGTTTTTCGTACCACCCCACTTTATTTCAGAAGTATTACAAGTATGGCTTTGAAACTTACCATACTTGTTCACCATCATAACCTCCATCTACAGACAAGAGTACATAACTCTGTCAAGGTTTTTGACAGAATTATGGCCCTTTTTTGACTTAGAAAGTGTATTGAGCTTGGTTAAGTTTTTTGTACCACCTCACTTTATTTCAAAACCATTGGAGGTATTGCTTTGAAACTGACCATACTTGTTTACCATCACGACCTTCATCAACAGACAAGAGGACATAACTCTGTCAAGGTTTTTGACAGAATTATGCCCCTTTTTGACTTAGAAAATACATTGAATATGGGTAAAATCCACTTATTGCCTTAACCCTTTGAGATATTGCTTTGAAACTTTTAATGCTATTTCACATCATTACCCCCATCTGTACGCAAGAGAAGGTAACTCTGTCAAGGATTTGTTTTAAAAATTAAGGCCTTTTATCGACTTAGAATCTTGGTTAAGTTTTTAGTACCAGTCCACTTTTTGACTGAACTGTTTGAGATATTAATTTGAAAGTTGGAATACTTGTTTACAATCATGATTCCCAAACATGTCCAGGAGAAGGTAATTCTGTCAAAGATTTTATTTGAATTATGGCCCTTAACTGTCAATGTTTTGTATTATAGGCAAGCACTAAAAAACTTAAAAAATCTAAAAAAATTCATTCCTATCCACTTGTTCACTTTACCATAAATTATGTCATAATAAAATAATTCTTCACTAAATATCTTAATGCTCATGGCCATTGTTCACTTTAAAAATACAGAGATTCTTGTATTGCCTTTTACTGCAAAAACTTTTTTTATTGGCAAGCAATAAAAAAGTCGAGCGCGCTGTCTTACGGACAGCTCTTGTTTTCGCCAGTTCTTACATTTTTGTTTCATGATCATATATAAATCTGTGTGAAGAGATAATGAATTACACGTCTAAAAGTGCCTTTTTGTAGGTGAAAAGACAATGTATTAGAATTTATCATCCAAGCTTTTTGTCCGGTAAATACCAGAAGACAGTATTTAGTGTAGTGCTCATTCTCCAGACTTGAAAGTCAGATGACTGATTTTGCCTGATGTTTTACTTTATTTTATTACAGGCTAGAAATATAGCATGCTGTGTAGAGATAAGAGACTCTGATGATGACCATGTTGTTCCACTCAAGGTATGATTGTAAAATTGTAGAAATTATTGGACATTGTCTATAGTCCTTTTTTTTAAATTTATAAAATAATATAGCATTGAAATATACTCTTTATTCAAAAAGTAAAAATATATATTTCTGTTTAAGAAATTACTTGTTTGTTTAAAGAAATAACAGAACAGAATTTGATATATATAATTTAAGCAGTTTTTAGGTTATACTTTATTAAAAGATTAACCAAAGTATAATCAAATCACAATGATAAACCTTACTTGAAAATATTAAGCAGTTAGTTAATTAGCAATGAATTAGTTTATAAGCATTATAAGAATTACTTGTTTGTGTGTAATGGACATGAATCACCAGTATTGTTCCTTCATTTCTGTGAAGTGAAATCCTTGATACCTAGGAACTTTTAGAAAATGTTATTGTTTTTCAAATTATTTCAGAGCATTTATAGTAATAATGGGTCATCTGTGTTCACCAGTATAGCCAGCACAACTGTTCTACATCATAACCAAACACCAGAGTACCTGGAAGAGGTAGGAAACTTAATTCACATTCTAAGATTACAGACCATTATGAGCATGTGCACAACTTGAAATGTTGGTATTTTCTTCTCAAATTATGATTTCACAATGGAAACAGAAATCAGGCTGTCAACCAATTCCTATATTCCTATAAAACTTCTATATTTTGGGTCGGAATCCTATATTTTAAAAAGCCTCCTATTTTTCCTATATTCTCCTATATTTTGAATATTTTTCCTATATTTTTATGCCACCGCAGCATCTGCGATGCGGTGGCATATAGCGATTCACCTGTGTGTGTGTTTGTTTGTGTGTGTGTGTGTTATATAGATTATATAGTGAACTTAAAAAATCTTCTTGTGAAAAACCACTAGTCCAATTTCAACCAAACTTGGCAGGATTGATCCTTGGGTGAAGGGGTTCCAAAGTTGTTCAAAGAATTTCATTCCATGCAGAAATCTGGTTGCCATGGCAACCAAAAGGAATTATAAGAATAAATTAAAAAAATCTTCTTGTAAAGACCCAAAAGGCCTAGAGCTTAGATATTTTGCATAAGGCATTGTCTGGTAGACCTCTACCAAGATTGTTCAAATTAAAGCCCTGGGGTCAAAATCGGCCCCGCCCCGGGGGTCATTGATTTTCACTATATGACATATAGTAAAAACTTAAAAAACCTTCCTGTAAAGACCAAAAAGGCCTAGAGCTTAGATTTTTTGCATAAGGCATTGTCTGGTAGACCTTTACCAAGATTGTTCAAATTATAGCCCTGGGGTTATAATCGGCCCCGCCCCGTGGCAACCAAAAGGAATTATAAGAATAAATTTAAAAAATCTTCTTGTAAAGACCCAAAAGGCCTAGAGCTTAGATATTTTGCATAAGGCATTGTCTGGTAGACCTCTACCAAGATTGTTCAAATTATAGCCCTGGGGTCAAAATCGGCCCCGCCCCGGGGGTCATTGCTTTTCACTATATGTACATATAGTAAAAACTTAAAATACCTTCTTGCAAAGACCCAAAAGGCCTAGAGCTTAGATATTTTGCATAAGGCATTGTCTGGTAGACCTCTACCCAGATTATTCAAATTATAGCCCTTGGGTCAAAATCGGCCCCGCCGGGGGGTCATTAGTTTTCCTTATATGTATCTTCAATATATACTTATAGTAAAAAATCTTATTGTCTTTATTAGAGCTTTAATATTTTTTAAATGATATCATCTATAGGAACTCTACCAAAGTTGTTCAAATTTTGCCTCTAGTGTCAAAATTAGCCCCGCCCAGGGGGCCATAGGTTTTCCTTATATGTATATTATCCTGATGAAGGTCATTATATGACCGAAACCGGTAGATAAATAAATTTACGTAAACTCACTCTGGTGTTCCTGACGTGTTGTTCTTCATCCTCTCCTTGATTACTTAGTTTATATATATATATAGTAAAAAAATAAAAAAATATATTTTTATCTGAAGGTACAAGGCATAGAGCTTTGATGTTTGCTATATAATATCATCTATAGGTCCTCTTCCAAAGTTGTTCAATTATTCCCCTGGTGTCAAAATTGGCCCTGCCCGGGGGCAGTGATTCTCATTATGTACACATAGTAAAAACAGAAAATTAAACAAATGTTTTCTTAATGGGAGAAAGCTACAGCTTAGATATTTGACTTGAAATGTTGTTCGGTGGACCTGTATCAAGATTGTTTTGAATGAAACCCTTGGGTCCAAAATTTTGCCTTGCCCAAGGGGACAGTGACCTACTTTCTTGTCCTTTGATGTACAGCAATGAAATTTTGACCATGTGCACAGTTTTAGTTGTAAAATTGAATTTTGATATCAGGTGACCTAGATTTTGATGATGTGACCTACTTTCTTGTCCTTTGATGTACAGCTATGAAATTTGAACCATGTGCACAGATTAAGACGTAAAGTGAACTTTGATTTCAGCTGACCTAGATTTTGACAAAGTGTCTTACTGTTCTTTGATGTAGTCATGAAATTTAGGCTGTGTGAAATATGACCTTCACCACCAAATTCACTAGACTCGAGTGCATTGATATATTCCTACTCTGATCTTTTATTGAGTTAACAACAGATTTAACCACTAATCTGATTATAAGAATAAGATAGGTCAGGGATCTATGCATTATGACAATCTTCAAAATTGTATAGAAACAAAAAAAAAATCTGTTCCAACACTTCTATTTAGTGTTGTATTAATGCGGTGGCATAGCATTTTTCTCAAATGCAATCTTGTTTTAAAAATATATTGCCGAGGAATTCAAAGAGATTTAAATTTTGGTACTGCTTTTGGCCTTTTGTATTTTACAGGTAAGAGAATGTGTATGCCTGCATCAGCATCACATTACTATGCTCAAGGCTGTTGTGCTCCACATAGCAATCTGCATGGTCACCATGAAAAGCAGTGCATCAGTATGTCAACTTTATTTCAGGTGACCATTCAAATGATGGTCATGCATTGCTGTTACTTTCTGCCGGGATGCTGATGCTGTGGTTCAAAGCTAATGCAGGCTGTCCACTGTGTCCCTAAGATTCCTAAAAAAATCCTAATTTTTTCAGTTTGGCTAAAATTCCTAAAATATGAAAAATTCAAAGGGAATTCCTTAAGAAGCCCTATTTATTCACTGAAATTCCTCATTTTTTTATCTTTTGTTATAAACATACTTATAACTTGTAACCCTGTCAAAATAATCACGGACATAACTAAGTCAACCATATTTTGAACATGGTCAAAAATGATTTGGCCATGATTTGCCAACACAAAATTGATGACATTGAAATGGTTTCGTTTTAACTAAAAGTTACTTTGACTATGTCAGTAACATTGCTATTTCATAATCAAAGCAGTTGTTGATAATCATGTTGACAGCAAAAATACTACCATATCATGGTCCTGAAACTCAAATCATAACCATAAGAGTCCACTTATTCTGGAATATTTTGACACTTTTTTGCCAACTCCAGATATCTTGAATTTTATGTTTGTTCATTTTATCCAAATTTCTGAAGTGGTCCATTTATATCATATCATATTGAAAAGTGATCATTATGAAGCTGTTGTAACACAATCTTAATTAAAAACATGTATAGATAGTGGTCAAAAATTAATGTACAATTTGTTTACTCACAACTCTTTTATTTAAATCTGCATTATATCAAAACAACATTGTAAAGTACTGAATGGGTTAACATAGACTTTGAAAAATTAATTCTTTCCCTCATACTTATTTATCCTTTTCTATGTCTTTGTAGTAGAAATTGCTTATTTTGCCACAAAGTTTTCAATTTCATTCAATTCTTGTTCTTTCATTCATCTGGTACAATTTAGGAAAATGTAGACTCATATAATTTATTACACTCAAAAATAATTTGGCAGTTCAGTAATATAATGCTCATTTCCAATTACAATGTACACACATTTTGCAATTATGTGATCTAGATAAACTGCAATTGAATGGTCTGTGTGATGAACTTTTTTGTTGTGCAATTCTTTGTGTTGATTATAGATGCTTCCCATTTATTCAAATGACTGTACTAAGGCAAATGCCTTTTTACTTCATACTTGTACAAAAAAATTCATTTGTCCATATTCGAAAGCTGCATTGTGCAAGAATTTCACTGTATAAGAATTCCTTTTAGACACTTGTGGTTATAACATTGCCAAAACAAAGGTAAAACATGTTCTTTTTGACATGTTCAGCTAGTTTAAAAAATATGGTTTGAACATGATTTGACTAAGACCATTTCGGCAGGGGAGGCCACACTGGTAGCACCTTTGCTCTAACTAAACTAGAACATTATTTGTGAGTTACTTTTGTGTCAAATATGCAGAGATTAGCCCTCATCATGGTCCTTTGGGACCTGAGTTTATTTAGTTATAAAATTGCAAATTTTAGCCCTAAAATTTCTATTATGTATCCTAACATTCCTAATTTTAGCCCTAAAATTTCTGAAATATTACCGTAAAATTTGCCCTAATTTTATGTTGGAAGGTGCTGGACAGTCTGCTAATGATGTCCTTCACTTATACGGTAGACATTTTATTGTAGAAACAGCATGTGTAAAAGTAAGAATAATTTACATTTATATAAGCATTGGTAAGTTAAACAATTTAAGTTGAAAACTCCTATTTTTTGCCTCAAAATGGTCCAAAAACTCCTATATTTCCTGCAAAAATATTCCTATATTCCTCCTTTATTTTGGATAAGACCTGGTTGACAGCCTGAGAAATGCACTAGAATTTTTTTATTTTGAAACTGGCAAACAACCCGGACTAACTTCAGGTGTATTTCGATATGTCCCAAAATCTGTTAGTATTTTTTATTATGGTTTCTAGTCCTTAAAGCAGCATGTCTCCAGATTCATGTTAATTTTTATGACTCATTTAGAGGCATGCAGCTTTAAGGCAAGTGGATAACTTTCTTGAAATATTCTGGTTCATCTGGAAGCATGCAGCTTTAAGACAAGATAACTACAGTACGTATGTATTCCCTTACAGGTGAAGATTGCATTACCACCATTGATAAATGAGAAACATCATATCTTATTCCGGTTTTACCACGTTAGTTGTGAGGGGTCAAAAGGTTCTACGAAGAAGAAGGATGGTATTGAGATGCCAGTAGGGTATGCCTGGATTCCACTGCTTCATTCCAGTGGAAGGTAGGTGTCTGTCCATGTATATGTCGAAGTTTGACTGCAAAATTGCAGTAACTTCAATGAAATAAAGAAAGACTTAAAACAGTTTTGCAGTCAACCCTAGATTTATATTATTAAGAGCTATTTTAGTTATGGATGATGTTTGATATCAGTAATAAAGAAATAAATCTATGGTTTTGACCAAATGGTGAACATTTTGGGATGAGAATGTTAGACTTACTGACAGCATTGGTTAAAACCCACCAGGGGTTAACCACTTTTACCTTGACCAAGAAATATTAACACTTCTTGCTAAGTACTGATAAGTTAAAGGAACAGATACAAAATCATGTCTATAGGCTTATAACTTCATACACAAACTTAAAAAATTGATGTAAACAAAGAAATCTATTCAGTTAAAGAATCATAGAGGATCATGCATGTTGTCTGTGAATTAGGAAGTCTGACCTTAAAATGTAATGTCACCTCAAAATGTAACTTGACCTCAAAATGTTGTTTATTTCCATTTGATAGAAAGACTAGGAATGCTATATTTGTCTTAAAGAACCTTTATGTTGTAATTAAATTGATTTACAGGAATATTTAAAACAGTTATCCCCCTTACCCTGCTGAGTTTATGCAATGGACTGTCCCCTTTGAAATTTGGAAGTACTTATTATAGGTTTTTAGGGGTTTTAGTATTGAAATGATAAAACATCAGTATAGAACTAGGTAGGATGATACTGACCACAGGAGCTTGAAATTCTATCAATAATTGCTCTAAAGTCCTGTTAAAAAAATCCATCAATTAATATTTAAAAAAAAAAACACTTTTTTTACTACATGTATATAGGTATGGATTTTTTTAATCAGGCTTTAGAGCTATCATTGATAGAATTTCAAGCTCCTGTGCACTGACACAGACAGGCTAGGCCAGTCCTTATTCCTGCTAGCAATTAAAGGGTTACGGTTGGTAGGTGTTCAAAATATAAATATATTTACAGCTTTTGTTAAGCTACTAGTATACATCTTGTGTTTAACTAAGAAAATCATTTTGATTGTTTCAGAGTTGAGGTAGGGGAGAAGACTCTGTCAGTGGCAGCAAATCTTCCAGCGAGATATTTATCACTTGATCATCATGGTGGTGGTAGAAGTGTAAGATATTATTTTATATATGCTACCAATTTTCATAAGTCAAATTTGAAACTGCACACCTCATGAAGGGGGAATCATGTTTATAAAAATTGAAGACTTAAGAAAAAATGTATAAAACATATTTAAATATTCACTTAAAGTTTAATATTTAATAACTTAATCTTTTTATCACAAGTCATCTATAACAGGCTACATACTTCACTGCTCTCCACTTTGTATATTCATTGAATTGTTTTCCTTCACTTGCATTATTGCCAAAGTTAAATTTTAATGAACAGACTTTATTTTGGTGGTATGTCTCTTCATATATAAAGCTTTCTCATTTGTGAGTTACAATGCTATAAGTTGTATATAAAATTTCTATCTGTTTTCTTTACCCAGAGTTCTTCAACAGATGTAAAGATGGTTGACAGTGGTAAACCATTGTTCAAGATAAAGTTACAGCTCAACTCTACAATCTACACAACAGACCAGCATTTACATACATTCTTCTTTCACTGTCAGAAAATGCTGGGGTCGCCATCACCAGGCCATGACAGTTTGAATAAACTAAAGGTACAAATATACATTTTAATGTAATACTTTAATGTAATACTTTATTCTAGAAAGAAAAACAAGTGTAAGAATTCGCAAGTATATGATTGGTAGATTTTGAAAAATTTCAATTCAATCTGGCCAGTAGGAAAACTGCATTCAAAGACTGGTTTCAAATTATGGTTCTGAAATTTCCAAAAATTGACTGTGTAACTAATTGATCTTATATACTTTGTACACAAGGTTTTAAAAGATTGATTTATAATAAAGCTGGTGTAACACTCTTGTGGTTTAATGCAGAAAGTAAATTAAATGAACTTGATTTCTTTTAATCTTTTAAAAAGGATATGTTGTTACAGTATCACAAGATACAATAGAAGTATAGAGTATTGTTTGCTTATATAACTTCTCATAACTTGAACCCTCTTTATAAATTGTCTTGTTTAGTTAGTCTATAAAAAGATGCTTCTTGAGGGCATATACTAATAATCAAATAACAAGCTATATAAATCTACATTTCTGTCTTCCAACATTTATGTAACAGTTCTTTAGTTAACAGGTAAAGTTGTGTTTAATTTCGGTTAAAATAAGTTCTTTTTTTATTCAATATGAGTAAAGGACATGTTACATTAAGCTTTGAAAATTATCTGTTAATTAAGCTTGAAAAAGCTTGTATTATAATTTGGGCAAGGGCATTGCACATTTAAGGCACTAATAACATTGCTACATGAACAATGTATGGAATACAGTCACTTGATTAATTCTGTAAAGAAACCATAAGTTTTAATGACTTGATTTTGTCTACATTTATGTATAGAATTTAGCAAGATATGGTTATATCAATACTTGGATAAAGAAAAAAGGAATACTATAAAGTGTCTAGACCTCCAATATATCACTTAAATACTGTTTAAAATGTATTCGGTTTTAAATCAAATTATGCCTATTGTTCAGTATTTTATACAATATTATCAAATTAAACATTTAGGTGTTTGAAAAAGTTGCCAATGTAGCAGACACTGTGGAGCAAACTTACGTTCTTAATGCTGTAAAGGTATAACATAGGTGTAACATGTAGTTTTATACAGCCAGGAATATTTATACACCAGAAAATATATTTACCTATAGACCCAGTCATAAGTCAAGTGGGTCTCAATGTAAAAGGTTTTGAAGACTTTCCCCATTCTAGGTCCTTTTCCTAGAATGGCATTGATTAGATGTATGTAGATGTTATGGAACCATGGTTGGAAGCACTTGTGGCCGAGGGGTTGCCTTAAAGGTCATTGTGCATTTTAATCAGAATGAATCAGAATTGCAGCCACCGTTTATCTCTCCATGATGTAAGAGGCAACTAAAATGGGTTTGAATAATGCCTAGGTCACAAATAAAACGGGCGCCGTCCGATTAAACGATTTTTATAAAATCGGCAGATTTTTTGTTGTCGTGGACGCCGGGCGATTTTAAATCTGATACCTTGCGTGGTCATGAATGAAACAGTCGTCGGGCGATTTTTGCCGAGTAGATTTTACAGAAAGAATTGAACGGATCAGGCGGTCGCCGCCCGATGTCCGTACGGAGCCTGTGCGATTTAAAAGTGAATCGGACGGTTGCCGCGCGGGCGCCGGGCGACAATGACTTTACATTTAATGACATTCTAGATAAATCAGCTAGTTGTAATTATGCCAGCAAAGACGTCAGCTGCCAAAGCCAAGGGGAAGGCCAAGGAGTTGGTCCGTGTTGTTGACAACGAGTCACCAACGACCAGTATCGAGGCCGTAGAAGGCGAAATTCAATCAGACATTCGCATGGACATTGAAGAAAGAATTCATGTTTACTAGTATTCAAAAGAAATTCACAAATATATTTTTGAGGCAATTACAACTTCTTCAAGTTGAAATTACAACAAACACAAGCAGCCCGGTCGCCGGATGACAAAACGATGACCGCCCGGTGCCTGTACATCAATCGTCCGGGTACCGGGCAATAATCGTTTGACTACTTGTCTCTATTCAGGCACCGGGCGGGGCCCGGCCGATGTCCGCCCGGACTTCTCTTAAATTGGACGCTGTTTTAGTAGAACAAAAAATCGCCCGATCAAAAAAATCATCGACCGGTCGCCGCCCGGCGATCGAACGATGTCCGCTCGATGATATTTATACTCAGTGACCCCAAAAATTATCGTCCGGCCGCCGTTAGCTTTTAAGTATTACTTAAAACTCGAAGGCGCCCGCCCGATGAGCAAAATTTTCAGCTGCTGCCGTCCGATAGTCACTGCCGCCAGACGGACGCCGGCCGATATTGCGATTTTTTGGAGAAACAGACGCCGCCCGGCGGCATTTTCTTATTTGTGACCTAGGCTTAACTGGAGTCTATGAATCTCATAGCTCCAGCAGGTGAGGTGGTTTAACCCCTGATGTTGCTTTATGTTTTGTAACATCTGAGGTTAGCCATGTATCTAGGAAATGGGTAGCTTTGTCATGTTGTGAAAGAATGGGGTAATTTATTGTTCAATCAATAAATACATTGACTTGGTGTAAACAATATTTATTTCTTCTATCATATTTACAAAAAATATTACAATATATAAATTGCATCCAGGATACATTGACTTATGGCTGGGTAATGAGCAAATTTCATCATGGCAGTTATCATCATCATGATCATGATCACCATCATCATCATCATCATCATCATTTTTGTGCCCCCACTATAGGTGGCATTTAGATTTACCCTTGTCCATTCGTCTGTCCGTCCGTCCATCCATCCATCTGTCCGTCCATTCTCTTTTGTGTCGCACGTAGCTCAAAAAGTAATTGACCTAGAGTCATGAAACCTTCCAGGAATGTTAATCAGCATGTGAAGTTGTGCACCTGGGTATTTTCATGTGGACATATTTAGTATTTTTAGAGTTATTGCCCTTGAATTAGTAAAAATTTCCAATTTTCAACTTGTGTCGAATGTAACTTAAAAAGTATTTGACCTAGAATCATGAAACCTATAAAGAATGTTGCTCAGCATGTGTAGTTGTGCACCTGGGTATTTTCATGTGGATATTTTTTGTATTTTTAATGTTTTTGCCCTTGACCGCCTCCGTGGTCGAGGGGTTAGACTCGATGACTTCTAATCCAGTTACCTCTCTGGCGTGGGTTCGAACCCCGGGAGATGCTTTGGTTTAACGCTGAAAAAGGTAGTCTAGAACTGGTGTTACTCTCAAGGAACGATGGGTAGGAAACTACCCGCTTATATGACTGAAATACTGTTTGGAAAAGGCCTAAAATGAAACAAACAAACAAAACTTAGTAAAAATTTCCAATTTTCATCTTGTGTCGCACGTAACTAAAAAAGTATTTGACCAATAGTCATGAAACCTTACAAGAATGTTGCTCAGCATGTGTAGTTGTGCACCTGGGTATTTTGGTGTGGATATTATTAGTATTTTTAGAGTTATTGCCCTTGACTTAGTAAATATTTCCAATTTTCATCTTGTGTCGCACATAACTGAAAAAGTATTTGACCTAGAGTCATGAAACCTTACAAGATTGTTGCTCAGCATGTGTAGTTGTGCACCTGGGTATTTTCATGTGGATATTATTAGTATCTTTAGAGTTATTGCCCTTGACTTAGTAAAAATTTACAATATTCAACTTGTGTTGCGCGTAACTCAAAAAGTATTTTCCTGTAGGCCTGAAAGTTTACAAGAATGTTGGTCAGCATGTGTACTTATGCACCTTGGGGATTTCTTTTGGATTTATTCAGTATTTGTAGTATTTGTCCTTTACTTGATAAAATATTTTTAGTTTTCAACTTGAGCACATGTAGCCAAAAAAAACAAAAATTGACCTAGAGACATAAGATTGACAAATTGGTGAGGTGTGAGGGCACCCGTGTCCTATGGACACATTTCTAGTTATGATCATCATCAATATCATTATCATTTTTATTATTCTAATTTTTCATAAAATTTATAGGTGAAGGGAATAATTGCCTCTGGTATAATAAATAAGTAGTGATGTACATGTAGTATTGTTTTAATACTCAAAATAGAATATTACTTTTGAAATTATGTATGCTTTACTTAGATTGCTAGAATTTGATCTATTTTGATACAAGTTTCGGATTTGCTTTAATCTGTACACAATTTATAAATTTTCTCCATATTAATTTCCTAAATAAATTTTGGATCAACCATAGGTTGGGTGTTGAATGTTGATGATGTTGAATTTAATTATAATATTTTAGATACAACTAGACATTTGAAGTTGTTCTAAATTACATTTGCTATTATTACAATGACAAAAAGTTATCATTATGAAAACAGTGCGTGGAACAAGCTTTGTTAAACATTTTAAGCTCATCTAATTAAAAGAAAAATTTGAGCTATTATGATTGCTGTGTAGTTGTTGACATGGTCGTTGTTGTCGGAATGATTATGAAAGCTATATTCAAAGTTATGACCTTTCTTAATCAAAATGATCTATTAAGAAAAAAGATTTCAAAATAATCAAAGTTTAACATGAAACTTGTAATTCTTCATTATCAGAACAAAAGTTGTAAGACAAGGGGCATAATTCTGAAATTAAAATATTTAGGAGTTATGCCCCTTTTTAACTAAGAATACTTTTGATACTCATTGCCCTAAAAGTATGAGTGTTAGCACTGCATGTGGTGCTCTTGTTTAAGAATTTAATGATTGAAAATTTTGGATTTTTTGTGTGCTTTATTTAATAAAAGTGAAATGGTATTAATAATAAAAGTTGGAAATATTATTAATTAGGCTAAAAGAGGGAATTTTTCATTTTTTCCTTGAGTAAAATAAAAAACAGAAAAAAAACAAACAAATAAAACTAACTGAATTTTACTCCTTGAAATAATGTATTTAAACATTCACCATGCTGTTATACATGAAACATTATTCACCTGGCTTGGTTAGTAAAAGGCTTAAGCTTTCTTATTCAGGAGCTTATTAATGAATTTCACAGTAAAAAAAACACAACAGAAATGGTGCATAAGTATTTGCTTCTGGGTATTTATGCTTGCATTGAAAATACTGCATACCAAAATTGTCCTCTTTAGAGCTAGCTTTTAAGAAGACAGGCTTAAGTCACAAGAATAGAGCCATATCAGCCAAGCCTTCTTTAATCTGATCTATCTATAAACTGTTTTGTACTCTATTTGAGTATTTCCATATTGAAATCCATAGAAATAACAAATTTCTAAAATATTAAACAGGGCAAGTTCATTTTACAACTTTAGGGGGGTAAAAATTTAAATCATAGATATTGAACTTACATACTTGGTCAGTACTATGCCATGTACATATGTATGTGTATTGTTAATATAAAGATGGTTTAATTTGAAAGGAGTTCAGTGGTTACAGCTATGCTACTGTTTAAAAATTTGCTTCTTTTCGAAATGATTGAAAATGAAGGATATTACATATAATTTTCATATACATGTAAAATTGTATCAATAATTCACCTGTGGTAAACTCTTTCTCACAATATATATTACATATATTTAAGTTTATCATCTTCTAATAGTATTTTTGTACTTTCCCTCCTTTCCTTGAATAAATTACACTATTAACATGTATTTGCCAACAATGACACATATTTTGTGGAAAAATGGGATTATTTTTGTATATATTTTACAAATTTTGTCTTGCACATCCTAAGATTTGCCTAAAGTATTACAATGATATTTTTTCTATGGTCATTTGATAAATTATGTTGAGGGTAATTGAAGTTTAAGTTGATTACCAATTATTGACATACAACTCAAATATTACCACATTATTTGAAATGTTACCACACTCTTTCAAACATTTTCCCACCATTTCAAATATCATCTACCAATTCACTTCATGATTTACTACTCTGTTTCAAATATCACCATATCACTTTTAACTTTACCACATTATTTGAAATATCTTAATATTAATTCAATTTTTACATCACTATATCAGATATTATAACATCTCATCAAATATGATCACACTATATCATATATTTCTACATCACTTCAGAATTTAACCATACTGTATCAAATATAATAAAATCCCTTTAAAGTTTTACAACACTATTTCAAATATTATATCTTTGTTCAACTTTTACCACACCATTTTAAATTTTACAATATCATTTAAATTGTACCATACTATTTCAAATGTTACCACATCATTTCAAGATATTACCACACAATATCAAAATTTACCACATCACTTTAAAAATTTTGCCACATTACTGTAAGATTATCACATCATTCAGAATATAACCAAATTATTTAAAATATTACCACATCCCTACAATGCCTGCTAAACTATCTTATATTTTACCATCCATTATATAATAAGGTAAATTATATAATATATATTACAGTCCCTTCATGCAGTAGATGTCAGTGCATATATACAGTTCCTACCCACCATTCTGAACATGCTGTTTAAACTTGTAGCCAATACACAAAGTGAAGACATTTCCATGAATGCTGTCAGGTAAAATTTATACTTACTAATACCATTATCTGTACCTTTTCAACTTCTTCACATTCATGCAAATCAATATTATTCCTAAAATGGATGCTATGTTTAAAAACTTGGCACATAGCTTTACATTTTGCTGTTTAAGATCAGTTTATAATTACAGCAACTGATTGGTTGATTCTCATTTAAAATTGTCCAATAGTAGTGTTCTGTATTTTAACCAATCACATTTTAGAAGTTTTTCAAATATTTATTTACCTACTTTTGAATTGTCCAACAGCAGTGCAACATTTTTTTAACCTGCCACATGCATGCATTTGAGAGGACGTATGTCCTAAATTACTGCTTAATTAAGTATAATAATACTGAAATTCCTTTAACTCTAGATGAACTATTCCAAATTTCATATAAAAATTAGGCAAGTCCATTGTACAAGATATGCAGGGGTAAGATCTTGTCTAAATATTGTATTTCACATTGTATATCATAGTTTTAGTATCATATGAGCCGCGTCACGACAAAACCAACATATTGCGTATCCGCGCAGTCTGATCAAGATCCATGCTGTTCGCTTACCAACTCTATTACAAGTAGAGAAACTGATAGCGAACAGCATGGATCCTGATCAGACTGCCCAGATGCGCAGGCTGGTCTGGATCCATGCTGGTAGCAAACGCACTATGTTGGTTTTGTCGCGACGTGGCTCAATTATGATGTCTTAATGTGATATATGAATGTCTATATTTCAGGGTTGTTATCCACATCGTGTCAGAAGTACAGGATGCTGAGAAGTTAGAAATGTTGGAAAAATATGTGAAGGTAAGTTACTACTATTTTACATAAAGAAATCATGAAAATAGTTTAAAACACAAAATGTGTTTGCAGAAAAAAACATTTGAACATTAGAAAGTAACAGAAGTATATCCTGCACAAACTGTTGAATTGTAAAATTATTACGAAGCATTTTTTTTCACAGCCATGATGTCAATCTTAGTTAGTTCTGAATTTAGGCTAAATCATCCCTTCATATAATTATAATATAGCAAATTTGACAGACGTCAAACATTTTTACTGTATTGTGTCATTTTCAGTTCATATTCCGTGCAGAGCCTGTTCCAAAAGGCAGTAAACATAAGACAGTACACGAGGAGCTGGCAAAAAGTCTGACAATGATTTTACGGCCTGCCAACGCAGATCAGGTGGTGGTGGTGAAGTTCCTGAACAACTCGTGGTTCTTCTTTGAAATACTTATCAAGAGTATGACCCAGTATCTAATTGATGGTGAGAGAGTCAAGGTAAATAACATGATAACTATAGTCTGTTTCTTTGTATTGTGTATAAAGGGTATAAATCTATATCTTATGAAATATTTTGATAAAATGTATCAACAGTAAAGTTATATTGGTTCCATTATTATATGGTTGATTCCCAAAAAAGTTGCAACATAAAATGTCTCTTTCATTTAATACACATGAATAATGTATGTAAACAGAATAAAATGTTATTTTGCTGTTTTAAGTAGGGTTTTATCCGTTTAGCAAAGATTTTTGTGCATGCGCCATTCGCCTTTAAAGCAATAAATTACCATATTTATTTCATACAAGCATTTTGGAAGTATACTTTTTAAAATTCAAACAATAATTTTTGCATCAGATATATAGCTTTATATACTTTAATCATTAGGAAATGTCCATGAGGTAGCTTGCAACATTTAATCTAAACTAAGCTGATTACTGACATTATATGAAAGTTTATTGAAGAAATGAAAATGAATGGGAAAAAAAATAGGAGAATCTCTTGTGTGATAAATGAAACCATATTTTCTGTAAATATTTCAGATATTGATAAAAATAGTAGGAATGTTTCATTTGATAATTCTTAATAAAATGTTCCTTCAAAAAAAAAAATTGATAAGAGTTTTAAAGTGATTTAGTATGAACATTTATATGATGAATAAAAATATTAGCAGCGTCATGACAAAACCACCATAATGTGTTTGCGACCAGCATGGATCCAGACCAGCCTGCGCATCCACGCAGTCTGATCAGGATCCATGCTGTTCGCTAACCAACCCTTTTACAAGTAGAGAAACTGATAGCGAACAGCATGGATCCTGATCAGACTGCGCGGATGCGCAGGCTGGTCTGGATCCATGCTGGTCGCAAACCCATTATGTTGGTTTTGTCGTGACGCGGCTCATATTTTGTTCTTGAACAATTTATTATTTGCTATATAAAGATTAGCCACATTAGATAATGTATCTAACTTTTACAACAATATGCATGTATGATTCTTTCATTTTAAATTTTAACCTTGTAACAAGTTCAGACCAAGATCAGCCTGTGATGGTGTGACCGAGTGGTTAACATGTCAGATAAGTAATCTAAGGATTGCTGACCAAGTGGGTTCAAACCCTGTCAGGGGCAAGCTGTTGTTTCCTTAACCCTTTCGCTGCCAGAGGGTTATTGTTTTATTGATCACCTATTTGCCAGAGGGTTTTCTAAGAAATTACTATATCATTAATTAATATAATTATTATTATCTATTATTAGTATTATATTTATTATATATGTTTCCAAATCTGTGAGTTTAATAATAATCATTGTCGATGGTATAATTTTCTTTATATTTATTATTATTTTTATTATAATTATTATTAATTTATTATTATTACTATTATTATAATAGAAACGGCTAAAGCCGTCCATATGGCAAATACGCCGAAAATAACAGGGACGGCATGAGCCGTCCCTATGGCAGTGAAAGGGTTAAGCAAGAAATTCTACATTCACTGTTTAGTACCGGTTGGTTCCAGGAACAGATTCGAAAGTGTTTCAAAAGGCATATTGCTTCCAATGCAATCTAACTAAAATAAAATAAGATCAGCCAGTGCATTCATTCCATCTGATTATGGTGGGCACTTTTTGCTATTATGTACCCCCTAAAATAATAATTAAGATTGAAAGATTGTTAGGTCTATTGAAGATCTTTATTGTGTTAAGGGTTTGATATAACCTTTTTTTCTCTTCAGATGCCGAGAAATGAGAGATTTTCCAGTGATTACCAGTTTAAGTTACAAACTTTGATACAGACTATAACACCATACATAACCAGTAAATACAAGGAGGCTCATAGGGAGACAAGAAATGCAAACTTCAGTCTTGCTTACTTTGTCAAAGTATGTTGAAATAGAGTATAACAAAAATTAGAAGACAATTTTTTTCCAATTTTAGAAATTTTCAAATTTAGCCTTTTTGATCATAGAAAATAAAAAGAAGAACCAAAAAGAAAGCTAGTGTTATGAAAAATAGTTAATACAAAAAAAACATAAGATGGCAAAACAATTACACATACATTTGTTTTACCAAAAAATGAACATGAATGTCAAGATTACAGTTTTGGTCAAATGATTTTAACTGATATGTTTTGTGTATTACAGATGTGTTTCACATTGATGGACAGAGGTGTTGTGTTCCAACTCATTTCTCATCATTTACTTAGCTTTGCTGTAGTTGAACATAGGGTAAATATTTAAACTCATACCTGTATCATGTTCATTAACCCTTTGAATTATTTGTACCTTAGTTACAGGAATGATTTATATGTCACCAGTTTATAACCAGAAATGCTTGCACATTCTAACCTGACTTTATACTGTACCTTAATTTAACAAGGACATAACAAAATCATGCCCGAGATTTTTGTCTATACAGTCAAACCTGTGTTAAAGACCATGTGTAAGTAAAGACCACCCTGTTAATTAAAGCCACTGCTCAACAACACTTTGTGTGAGTCACCTGCAAAATAAAGACCACTTGTCTAGAAAGGCCATGCTTGGTATCTCCTTTAGGTGACCTTTGTCAACAGTTTTGATTGTATATGGGATGGTAAAAGCTAAATGCTTAATATATATTTTTATCATAAAGTTTCTGGTATCTTCCTTAATTCAAAAAAGAACAAATCCATTTTACAATATTACAAGTAACAGAGCTAAAACCTTACTACTGAGGTTTGATTTTTACAAGGGACTTTGGATTCTTTTTATGAAAAAATGCATAATTGAAAACCTAAGATCTTTCTTTTTCAGGAAAGCTGGAAAGTCACCATCTTACCTTTTACAGTATTACAAAATGTACTTCAAACCCAACAAATGAAAAGTGTTAGCTGACTCTCATATATGTTTTTAAGTTTTTATATGTAATTCTTTTACATTCAGAGAAATAATGTTTCTGAGTTGTAGATGACTGAATATTCATTTTAAACAATGCTCACACTGAATTTTCTATTTTTATTTTCAGATGCTACATGAATTTAAGTTTGAGTTTCTACGAATCATCAGCAGTCATGAACATTACATTCCTTTATCATTACCACTAATGAGGAGGGGCCTTATTAAATCATACAAAGGTAAATATCTCTTCTCTCATTTGTCAGTACAAAAAAAAGTTAAAAAGTTCATAGTAAACAAGAGTTTTAGAATAACAAATGTTTTGGGTAATTTTTTGGGGCTTGGCAGTAGAAGTGTTAAATTATTTGCTACTGACAAAATGGTTTTGGAAAAATTAAACAACAGGTTGATGTTTTATTTTTGGTATTAACTCTTAAATATGAAAATGATATTGAAATAGGAGGTATGACTTTAACAGGTTATTTGGCACATAATTTTACCAGGTTATTTGACACATGATTTTGTCAGGGTATTTGGCACATGATTCTTCCAGATTATTTGGCACATGATTTTAACAGGTTATTTGGCACATGATTTTCAAGGTTATTTGGCATTACTTGGCACACAATTTGCTAGGTTATTTGGCACATGATTTTACCAGGTTATTTGACACATGTTTTTACCAGGTTATTTGACACATGATTTTGCCATGTCATTTGGCACATGATTTTGCCAGGTTATTTGGCACATGATTTTACCAGGTTATTTGGCACATGATTTTGCCATGTCATTTGGCACATGATTTTGCCAGGTTATTTGGCACATGATTTTACCAGGTTATTTGACACATGGTTTTGCCATGTCATTTGGCACATGATTTTACCAGGTTATTTGGCACATAATTTTGCCAAGTCATTTGGCATATAATTTTTGCCAGGTCATTTGGCACATAATTTTTGCCAGGTTATTTGGCACATAATTTTTGCCAGGTTATTTTCATCTTTGCTGCCTAATACAATTCTGTACATTGTGCTGCTAAACCTGAGTCTTCAAAGCTCTATTATAGTTAAGAATCATAAGTTCACGATATTCAAACTAGGACATTTTTATTATGTTAATAGTATGGTAATGGTTGTCATTAATTAGGCCGGAGAAATAAGTATTAAAGATGCTCCACTGAGGTCAAAAGGGCTAAGAATATAATGTTTGAAATTCTTACAAAGTTCAAGTGGGTTATTTAGAATGGAGATTTCTTTTCTTAAAAGATATACTCAGAATTCAATTGAAAATCAATTTTGTGTTTGATTCACAGCCTTATTTGAGGTAAAAGCATTTAAAGGCCTTTCAAGTTTTGGTCATTTTGCAAAATTACAATGATTTTTCTTGAAAAATAGAAAAATAGGTTGAGCAAATGATCTAGAATTTTGCACACAGGTTATTGGTCCAAACTTTCATCAAAAGTACACAAATCTTAAAAAACATTTCCAATCTTGTCATGTCAAAATACCTCAGGGAGTTTCTTTAATACAATATAAAGAGTAGGGAAAAAGTTAATGAATTTTAAATTGTTACAATATATTTTGTTCGAATAAATTTTACTATGAAAACTATACTTGTATATTTCCATTATTATGCATATTTTTTATGATTGCATTTAACATTTAAACATACCAAATATTCATATATTTATTTACTTACAAATGTATAAATAACTTCATATGAAAATGCACATAATTAATTAACATGCATTAAAAGTGTAATAAACGGCTGCCACAGAATTATTGCTATATCAAATTTATATACTTCTTGTTTACAAACAACATGACTAGAATGTTAACACATCAGCAGCATTACTAAATTGTTAGCATATCTCTGATAAAACAATATAACATCATAGGTTCAAATATTTTCGAAGTTGTCATTTGTTTGAGTTTTTTAATCCTTGCTTTTTTCTCATACATACTAAATGTGACTGATATTATTAACTGTAAGTTAATTGTACCATAAGTCAATTGTACCATAAGTCATTTCCAGACTGTGTCTCTTTATTCTACCTTACTGATTTTTAATGGAAATTTTTATTCTCAGACTGTGTCTTTATATTTAAACACATTGTGACATAAAAATTAATTCTATATTTTTCAGAAAAACTGTATTTAATTTGTTTACAAGTTATTTTGACTTCTTCCTTTGGAACTTGCACTTTGCTACATGCTTATGTTGTTAAAAAATAATTTGTTGCTTTAAAACTGCTTTTACTCTAAAGTTTGAAACTATTTTAGCTGTCCAGCTATTTCATAAGCAATTAAAGATTGTGATACATGTTAATATATAGTAATACTGGTTTGATTGAAAATAATGTTGACCTTTGGCATGTGAGAAGGTCAAGATTATTTTTGGAATCATTAAGACTACATAATGACATAACACATGTATTTTGATGTTGAATTATATACCCTTAATTTTGTTAAAATTGATAGCTTTGTGTTTAATATTTCATAATACTGAAAACATTGACAAAAAAAATCAATATGTGGCGACATGGCCAAGTGGTTAACGCATCAGACTAGTAATCTAATGATCGCTAGCCGCATGGGTTCAAACCCCGTCAAGGACAAGTCGTTGTTTCCTTAGGCAAGAAACTTTACACTCATTGTTCAGTACTGGTTGGTTACAGGAACAGATTCGAAAGTGTTTCTATAAGCTTATAGCTTCCTACACAATCGAACTAAAATAAATTCTGTATTAACCAAATAAAAATCAGTGAGTTTGATTATGATATGTTTACATCCTGCCTAACCAGTAGCCGCCCACATCTATAACCTTGAATCCAGGGACTTCTGATTTTTTCATGTGAGGAAGCTATCCATCTGGCTTACAAAACCTTGGTGGTTCTTCTCAGGTGCCTGTTTGTGCCTGAAGTAATACACGGAAGGGCACCTGAGTTTTTCCTCCACCAAACCTTAACTGTGTTGGGTGTGAAGTAAAACCAAAGACTCAAATAGGTTTCACCTTTTGACTTTGTGTCTAGTATTTTGTAGGCCATATATCTTCCGTATTTCTTTGGAGTGTTTCATGTTGAGGTATTGTGTTACAAAATAGGTCATTACTTTTGGGAGTAAATGATCATTAATTAAATTACCAATTAAAGAAATTCATTCAAACATATATATTTTGATGTCAAGTTCATATATAATTCGATATATATATTGTATATATAATTATTTTTTACTGTGTTAAATGAAGAATAAGGGTATATAATTCAGCACCTTGATTTTTCTTTTATTTCCCCTTGCAATTATTGTCGAATGCGGTTATTAAAATTCATTAACACTGTTACATGAAAGGAATTTAATACACCCTTTTCATTAATCATCTTTATTTTTTTCCAGCTTTTGTAACTCAATATCATTATATTTTAGGCTTTTCATTATTTCTCTCTTTCTTGCATTCATATTTTTTGTCTTGAATGTTATAATCATGAAAAATGTGAACACTTTGCCTACTTGTTTTATACACACTGTTCAACAGACATCAAGCTTGAAGGTAAAATGTTTTATGCACTTTTTTTCCTGACAATTTAAGTTTTGTCGTCTGCTTGGAAAGCTTAATTTCTTGGTAGCACTTCCTGTTTCTAATTTCTTTATCTCCATCTGTGGAGAGCTTGTTACTGTAAAATGGTTGTGACTTGATGAAGAATGGGACACAACCAGTTTTTGATACCAAGCTTTCAGCCTTGTTTCCTTGGAAACTCTTTTTTTGTTTCCCTCTTCTTATTTTGACAAGCTTTAAATCTGCAAGTGCTTGGTGTGAAATGGTTTGTAGCTCTTAACAGTAAAACATACAGCAGTTTTGCACCAACTCTTTCAGACATTTTTATTTTATTAATTCTTAAATTCTTTTTTGTTGTTTCTAGCATTTTGTTAACTTTTATTTCCAGATGTCTTGTCTTGAAAATGCCTTAAGCACTGTTGCATTTCTGCATATTTCTTACACTTTGAATATTGTGATTTAGTAAGGCACATAGGTTAGGTATATATTGTTCTAATACCCTATACATGTATTTTGTTTATTACAAAATTAGTTGTTTGAGGGGGGAACACACATAAATCAGAGTTTATTTCACAAAGACAACATACATATTATATATAAACAGTTAAGCAGTTATTATAATGTAGTGATATTATATATAACATTTGCCTTTGTAATCAGTTTTGTGTTATGCATTATTATTTTATCATGATTACATTGTATTATGCTTTTTAATATGCTTTAACTACTATCATCATCACTATCATCATCATCATCATCATCAAGATCACCATCACTTTCAATAACATTTTTGTGAATATAATTATCATCAACATATCATAAGCATAATATGTTCATTACCATTGCCCATCATAATCATCATCATCATCATCATCATCATCATCATCATGGCAGAGTGGTTAAGGTCTTTGACTTCAAACCATTGCTGTGGGTTTAGATCCCACAAAAGTCTTTTAATTATTCCATGTGAGGAAGCTATCCAGCTAGCTTATCTAAATGCATGAAATAAGGTCTTCCTTCACCAGTTAAGCTGGAAAGTCTTCATATGACCTTCACAGTGTTGGTGTGACCAAAAAAAAATCATAAAAATTAAACTTCATTGCTCCACTTGACAATATATGTGATAGAAATATAGATTTTTAATTAGTTCTTAGCTGGACTATTCAAAGAAAAGGGAGGAGAGTTGTTGTCAGCGTCACACTTCAGTAAAGTTTTTGCGTGCAAGTTTAATATTAGTTGGTATCTCCAAAACTACTGAAGGGAATTTAAACTTCACATACTTGTTTTCTGCGATCATCCAATATATTAGGTTATGCCCTTAAATTCTTACTGTCAAGCACTGAGAATAGTTGAGGGTACTGTTTATGGACAGCTCTTGCTAAATATGTGTAGTAATTTTATTATCACAAGTGCATGTCCACACCATTGCTTTGCATGGAATTTGCCATTTTGAATGATTTTCCATCAAATTTACTAATTGATTATAAATTGATGATAAATGCTGATTGTTAATTACATTGCATTCTTTTGATTGTTAACTAAATTGCATTCTTTGACATTCTAGAAATGGCAAAAGATATACATGTACATGTAGTATGCTTTTATTAAATAGATCCTTCTAAGAATGACCAATCAGAATTTGTTATTCAACCAGATGTAGAACTAATATTCAATTGCTATGGTGATAAATTGTTTTGTTGCTATTTAACTTTATGCTGATTTATTATTAGTTCTTTCATGAAGTCATTATCATGTGTGTAATGAATCTCATTTTCTGTATAAAGAATATGTTTGATTTAAATGTAATTCTGTTTCATTCTATAAATAGATATAATGAAATTTTTGTTCTATAAATAGATATAATGAAATTTTTGTTCTATAAATAGATATAATGAAATTTTTGTTCTATAAATAGATATATTAGTGAAGTACATTTCCTATAATTAGAAAAATACTAAAGGACTTTTTCCTTTTGCATATATTTGCATAAAAATCAACAATATTTCACAATACAACAGAATGATAATGATTTCAACAATTAATGCATTTTGATGTGATTTTGCTTTTTAGCTGCATGGCTTGTTTTGGCCGATTTTATCTAAAGGGGATACTTTATCAAATATTAAAGTAACCAGTCAGGTTTTAGTATGTAATTACATTGTAATTGCATTAATATTGAAAATTAGTTATATTTACACATTTGAGGAACATTTACTCATGTTTAGTTATTTTTGAGACCTCAACTTGTAATTTTGACATCATTTGCCTGATTTCTTTCAAATGGTCATGTTCAAACATACAAGATGAGAGAGAAAAAAACCAATTTTAATTGAAGCCAATAATTTCAGAGTTTCAAGTTCCTGATTTTAGAAATACTCATATTTCCTGACAAATTGATTTTGTTTTTATTAGAACTAACCAATAAAGTGTCCCCTTGAGATATATAATTTTTTTTGTATGTTTTAATACAGTCATTGTTTGCATAAGGTTATTTGATTTATATTTATGTTTTATTTGCATAATATAGATAGTATTAGCTAATTTAAATTAATATCGAAATTTTAATTAATGTTTATTGAAATTTATCCGTGTTTGATATTAAATAGGGTCATTCAAAAGCCTAGGAAAAATTAATTTAATACTTTGTGGAAAAGACAAAGTATGCTTTCTTAGTGTATTTATTAATTTCCTTTGATATTTTTAAACTTAAAAGTCATTTAAAATCAAAGCTATATTTAGATTTTCATTGATGGACATGAACAGTGAAATAGCTTTCGATTTGCTAGAGTTCTGCTTGAAATAAGATATGGAAGGATAACTTAGAGTCAATGTACACTTAATAAAGCTAGCAACTTTGTAACATTAAAGTGGCGGCATGGCCAAGTGGTTAACGCTTCGGACTAGTAATCTAATGATCGCTAGCCGCATTGGTTCAAACCCTGACAGGGGCAAGTGGTTGTTTCCTTGAGCAAGAAAATTTACACTCATTGCTCAGTACTGGTTGGTCCCAGGAACGGATTCGAAAGTGCGTTTATAAGCTTATAGCTTCCTGCACAATCGAACTGAAATAAATTCTGTATAAACCAACATTGTAGCAACAAATTTTATAGTATAGCTAAATCAGACAAATGAATGCCTTACATTTTCATGAATGCCTTGTAATTGATTGAGAAAGAAGTGAACTTACATTTTGTATGGTAGATTTGGTATGATTTTAAAATTCAGATATCTATCGAATATTTTACTAAAGTTGGAGTGAACATAGGAAAAAATAAATCATTACACATTTCTAGATAAGAACTTTAGTTTACACCTGTAAGAACTTTAGTTTACACCAGTCCTGTAAGTTACTTATAGTGTGATTTCAGTTCCTACATTCTTAAATTGTTAAGTGCACTTAACAATTATACCGGTAGTTATTTTTTTTTTTAGTAATTATACAGTTTTATTTAGGATACAGGGTGATTTAACCCTTCACCTGCTGTAACTGTTTAGCCCTACCTAGGCCCTAAGCATGCATATCTGAGCAATCTGAACAGGCTCTATACTGTTCGCTTACAAACTTAAAATTTTAAAGCAACTTTTAGTTTTTATTTTCTATCGGAAAAACAATTCTGTGTTGTTTCAAAGTAAATATTTCAATAAAATAATATCTTGGAAATGTACCTCATATCAAAGTTAAGCCCTATTCAAAACAGCATCCTGAGAGCTATTTAAAACGCGCCAGGGATGTTAACTTTGTTTCTAAAAATAGCAGATCAGGGAACAAATTGTCTGCTTTACTAATTTAAATACAGAGAGTGGACAGGTAGATTAGAGGTATCGAGGGATTTCTTCATTGTTTATGTATTTTGTCATCGGCAAGATTCATTTTCCACCTTAATTCTTTTGATTTGACAATTATATGAAATGATTTATCCAAAAATAACATATTTAACCATAAGAAAAGCTGAAGGGCGATTTAGATAATTAAAAAAAATATTGATAATGGACAGGTACAAAAATGGATGATGAGCAAGTCTATTTTATGAAATTCACCAGGTTAAGGGTTATGATATTATAATGGTTGAGATATGAGTTGTTTATTATCACCTAAACACAATAAAGCCATTTATTAAAAACGAAATTACACTAATGTAATAACACTTTGATGTGACATCATTTGCGTTATATACAAACATAGTGTTAAAGTGCACTAATGTTAGCGTTACACTATAGGCGTGTCATTGAAAACTGACTCTTTTTAACTGTAAACCGTTCCTATTTTAGATATGTGATAAAAAGATATATCTGTGTAGATTTAATACTAAATTTATTGAACTCGTTAAAATAAAAAGAATATGATTTTATTCAACTCGTCCAATAAATTTAGTATTAAATCTACACTCATTTAATATCCTGTATGTTATAATATGATGTGATATTTACAGATCTGAAGAGTGACTACACACTATCAGAGGAATATCGTAAAACTCATTACCTGCCAGGTCTGATTCTACAAGAGCTTAAAATGGCGCTAAATGAGTCAAAAGAAACACGTAGATGTGCAATAAATGTTCTCAGAGACCAGTTTGCGAAACATGCCTTTGATGACAGATACTCCAAACCTGTAAGTGTTTAGTCAGAATACTAAGCAGATTCATTAAAATAAATTTTGTAAAGCTTATTTGCTGTCGACTGTTATTTTAACTTCTAAATTTGTTACAGGAATATTGAAGTTTGGTAAGATCTTCAGGCAAATTGTACATGTGCTTGATCTGTTTAATGTATACATGTTGTTATTATCAGATTGTTTAGATTTAATTTCAACAAATATAAGGGCTGTTTTGACAATGGATTCAAATCTCATTTTCCACTACATGTGTAGGTGCTTGAAAGTTTTGACTGTGTTAATTTGCGTGCTTTTTATTCAACATGCTAGTATGATTCATTCATTAATTAATTCATTCATTCATTCATTCATTTATTCATTCATTCACTCATTCATTCATTCATTCATTCTTAATAAAAATTACAGGCCCTTCAAGGTCGTATCGCCGCCCTTTACCTACCATTGATATCAGTACTCCTGGAGAACAAACATCGTCTTATTAAGTCAGATGACAACAAATCTCCGAAACATGCAGCACCGTCTGCACCGGGTTCAGTGGTGAACGGAGACGTCGGTTCCAGTAAAAGCGAAAGCAAACCGTCATCGGTATCAGCCGGACACACGCCTCAAAGCAAGCATCGCAGCGTGATATCAATGCCACAACCCACAGAACCTTCCAAACGTGACTCTTCTGTTTTTGATATGATCGCAGGCACTAAAAGTGAGTTTTGTGGAAATTTATTATGCGTGGTTTTTAATTTTGCTGTTTTAATTGCAGTGACTTTGTGACATTCTATTGATATTTCACTGTAAGAGAAAAATGTTATAGAAAGCATGTTGATGTATGTATATATAGTAAATTTTCAAAATTTTGGGATATACTTAATTTTTGGTTATACAGCATGGTTAAGTTTATTTAGAGCAGTAAACTGTATGATTGTTGTTTTCATACTGTACAGTTTAGTAGAGAATGTCATGTGTGGATTTTAAGCTTTAAAATTTAAAAAACAAACAAACAAAAAACGAAGAATAAAAATATATGATCAGTTTTGTTAAAAGACTGGATTTAAATGGTAATCATTTAATGGGAGCAGCTTTAGTAATTTACCTGTGGTGATTTATGACTATTAGAAATGACTTAGATTTCAGGATTTTGGATGGAGAATGTTGTAAATTATGTATAATACTTTATAAATATAATGGAACCATTTCTTTCAAACATTTATTATTATCAAAAACCACTAAAGATATTCTTATGAAACTTCACATGTGTCTTGAGGTTTAATTGTACAACATTTACCAAGAACCATAACTCTAGCATTGATTTTCACTGAATTTTTCCCCTTTGAGAATTTCACACTGTCAAGCACTCAAGAGAAGTTTAATATGCTGTCAGCCGATGATGGAGAATTTTGAATTGTTCTTATATTCAAGCAGGTGATGCTTTACGGATACATAGCCTATGTAGGGTGTAATCCTAATTTTATATATGAAATTTGGACATCATATATATTTGCTATGTATATTATATCATAGAAAAATGTTTAATTATTTTGCAGTACCTTATGGAAAAGGTAGAATACATCATAGTCAGTATTTCTTTTGCTACTTTAAATCTATCCTTTATAATTCTGTATTGATATAACCAAGTCACAAACTAGCGTATTAATTCGGGCTTTTGGTACTCGGCTGTCTGTACTGTGTTGTGTTTTGAATGAGAGAGATTGGAATGTTTTTACTTGTGTTCTCTTGTAAATTTGTTTGAACGATTAAACATTGCAGAATGAGTTTAGAAAAATTTATAAATATAGATTTATCACAATTTTGCTAAATATGGAATTCTAAAACAGTTTAATATATTATCATGATTCATGTTTACAGGTTACTGCAAAATCATTATTATTTGTGGGGAACTAATTTACGTGATTTTTCATGGCTAGGTCAATCCACTAGCACAAGATCTAACAAAATTTCATTTTGACTGCTATAAAATTATTTTTCATCACATTATTTACATTTTGGAAAAATAAACAGCCGATGAATTTTAGAACTCACAAAAATGTTCTTGATGACAAAACCACGAAAATTTAATGACCATGAATTTAAGCAAATTCTCAGTATTTAAGACAATGTGATCTTTTTCCTGATGTCAGCAAGCAGCTGTATGTAAATTAAATGTAAATCTGAATGTTTAAATATTTTTTTATAAACAGAAAATTTAAAATTAGTAAAATGACCATTGAAAGCTTAAGTTAAAAAAATGTAATTTTAATTGAATTGTTATCAAGAGAATACAGTTTAACATTTTAATCTCTCTTTCAACTTTTCTTATATCATAAAACACATTGTATGTCATCTATACAGTCAGATCTGTGAAATTCTTTGATATGTGCTATGATAAAGAAAGAAAATATTAACCATGGTGGTCTCGGTGGCTGAGTAGTGTTGCTGAATTTGAATCATTTGCTCTTCACAGCAGCGGGTCTGAACCCTGACATTTTAAAAGTCTATCTACTGATGTTATTAAATGAGCCGTGTCACGTCAAAACCAACATAGTGCGTTTGCAACCAGCATGGATCCAGACCAGCCTGCGCATCCGCGCAGTCTGATCAGGATCCATGCTGTTTGCTTACCAACTCTATTACAAGTAGAGAAACTGATAACGAACAGCATGGATCCTGATCAGACTGCGCGGAAGGGCCAGGCTGGTCTGTATCCATGCTGGTTGCAAACGCACTATGTTAGTTTTGTCATGGCGCGGCTCAAATGTACTTGTTGCTTGCTTGTGCCTGCAGCTCAAAAGAACTTTGGATGTGGCGATGTGACCAAGTGTTTAAAGAGTCACATTAGTAATGTAAGGATTGCTGGCCACTTTTGTTCAAATGTGGTCTGAGGCAAGCCATTGTTTTCGTGAGCAAGAAACTATACAAATTTTGCTTATTACTGGTTGTTTCCAGGAACAGATTGTTTCAATAAGCTTATAGCTTCCAACACAATTAAACTAAAATAGATTTAGTATAAACTAAAAGAACTTTGCAGTGTTGACTTTCTGAGGTTCTTTGATTTACAGTAAAAGAGAGCAGTCAATGCAACCTGCCAGTAATTAAACACAAATTACATTTAGATTTTATATAGACCTGAATTCCTAGAGATCTGACTGTACAGTGATATATTTTTCATATTTTTCATTAATAAAGATGATATATTCACATGGATATCACATTTGTGTATTGTAAAATGTACAATTTATAGCTATATCACATTTTATTTAACTTCTTATATAAGCAGTAACCACGTATTATTTCACTATGTATCGAAGTTAGCTATTTCACTATGTATGGAAGTTACCTGACAATTTTTACTGGAATTATGAAATAAATTTATGTATAGATAATTAATCAATAACAACACAATAACATACTGGAAATGGAGAAATTTTTAAAATTAATGGTTGTATAAAAAACATAAACTATAGTTGCATAATTATGTACATGCATTTTGATACTTATGCATGATCGATGCTATGATATTGTAAGATTTTTTTCAATCTTTGAAATAAACTAATGCAATTTCTTTGAATCTTTGAAAATGAACTGATAATTTATTCTTTAATCTTATATTGAACTAAATATTTTAAATGAACTCTTGAAAAAAATTAGATTCTTACCTAAATTGATCCGATTCTTCTTGTTTATTTATAGATTTAGTTTTAATTTTGGTTTTGGGATATAATTATATGTAAGGACTTGTATGAAATAAATTATAGATATATAGTTGGAGATAGACTAGTTTCATGGTAAGTCATATAATTATGGTGCTAAGTGGTTAATAAAGTCACTACATGCTTTGGCAAGACAGGTGTCTTAGTCTGTATGCTTAAACTAGAACCAACGGTAGGCTTTTAGTATTTAGCAATGTTTATTATCTTTTTTTCCTTTAAAAGTTAGTTTAATTTGAAATAGATGTAACAAGAGTATTTGAAATAGATATTAGCAGCACAGTATTATTCGAAATGATATATTTTGGAAATTATATTTATATAATTTTATGTTTAGATTCCTATATATATATATGTTTTTTTTTTGGTGTGCGATAAGGTTTAACATAAATGAATAATTATACATACAGGTGCATGTAAACAGACTTATTATTTTAGAATTTAGATGTTAAATCGATTGTTTAGTGTCTTAAAATATAATATCTAAAATATTGTGTTTAGGTCATCTTGTAGAAATTTGAAGTCTAAAGGACCAGGTTCGTCCTCCTCACTGGCTAGCTAGGGTCATCAACAGACACAAAGACAGACACTAGTAAAGAGAAAGACAAAGGTCACTCAAGGTCAGTACAGTTTAAAGAAGTTTACATCTTTCATTTTATTGTCTAATGCAAGCATTCTTGTAAGATTATAATAATCAAGTTTAATTTGATATTATTTGGTTTTAAATAATTGGATAAATCACAAATTTTGGTGTTGGAAGTTTTCACTCCGGATCACAGCAGTAAGCCACATTGGCTTTACGAGGGCACAATTGAGTAACCACATCATTCCTGGGCTACCAGTACACCTACTAACTTCTAGTTGCCTTCTTTTTCACAAGGAACTGATACCTTCTGTACATACTAGAGCAAAGGTTCGGTGCAAATGACCATAGAAAGGATTTCATGATCAATCACAACAAATTGACCTGCACCGTCTAGGAATCAAACCAGGATCGCCCAATTCACAGTCCAACACTATTGAGTTTTGTTGTTTATTGTGTGATCAAATGATACCAAGGTCAAGGACAGACTTTATGGGAATTTATCACAAATATGTTATTCTGAGTGATTGAAGATGATAAATATGTAATGTATTGCACAATAAACAACATAAATGTATTTGTGTTTTATATGAATTGGGACACCATTATAGAATAATATATAAAAATATAAAACCAGAATTATATCAATTGGTCGACAGTTATAAAATTTAAGATAAATATTTAAAGAACCAAATCATGTTAAATTGGTTAATAAGTGATTAAGTTCTAATTGACTGATACCTAATATTAGTAACTATAAATCCCTTTGTCTGCTTTTCATTCTTTTGCTCTAATGTGGTTAGAAAAATTTTTGCACAGCTTGAAGGGAAGTCAGAGTGCGTCATCATTTAGTGATGTCATATTGGTGTATCAGTATTGCTTTTTCTTAAACATGATATTAAATTTATCTGTGAAACAAATGTTATCATGTTAGATTATATTTAATACATGTATCAAACTGACTTTTGTTTATTTACAGACAAAGTTCCATCACCACCCTTACACCAGGTGTCACGCAGTCATCACCTAAAGTTTACCAGTATCAAAAACTCGATGTCACAGAAATCAAAGATCTCCTAGTGTGCTTCCTACATATTCTCAATATCTACCTGTGGAGATTTTTTTTATACAGTTTGTAAATCCCTTGAAAAAATAACCCCTGCAAATAAAACCACTCTTGTAACCTTCTTGATAAAATTTTTCCCAAAATAGTGGGGAGCCGAATAAACCATTTTCTTTCCACAAGTGACTGTATAAACTTCTCAATGAAAAATCAAAATTCCTGGGAGGGTTTTAACACAAGTTGAGGGGGGTGTTATTCAAGCCACCCCCCTTAACCATGGCCCAAAGGAGGGACAAGACATAATAGGTAAATATTTAGTATTAACAGCTACGGACGACTAAATTCACCCATCAACTGTCAGACGAAAAAAAAAACACTGCTTTTCTGTCGGTCCAATCATGGTCTGCATTCTTTTATTAGTCGTACAATGTTTAAAATTTTCAAGAGATGGGGGGATTTTGTCTGAATTGAAAAAGGTCAATCCATTAATACTAGAATGGTGGGGGGTAAATCTGTGAAAGATACAGCTAATATCTCAGGTTTTTGCCATCATTTAAACCAGGGTCAGGTTTTACTCTGAACAAGACCTTTACTAAAGACAACTTGGGGGACCCTTTGATAAAAACTCTTAACCCAAACCCTTAAATATCTTAAAAGGGCTTCCATCTTTCAAACCGGACATAACCATTTTTCTTTTTGGAAAAATTTTTTTTGAGTACAGACTGAAAGGAAGACGCAGCCCTGATGGATAAACATAAAAATCCGTTGATATTTGGGCGGGAGGGGAGAATTTTTGTTTCTGCAGCCCAAAGGTTAACTTTACAAACTTTCAAGATTTCAAACTTCTTTTCTGTGTGGAATTTAATTAAATGAGTGCATCACATGTTTACAAAATAATTTGAATTACAGATATACTGCTGGGATGGTTCAACAACTCGTCAGAATATGATATAGTGGACTTCTTCTCATTATTAGAGTAAGTTTTTACATTTCTTGTTGAGGTTTTGTGACAATATTTACTCAGAAGTTAGTAAGTAAGTAAGACTATGAAAGCAAGTAAGGAAGCAAGGAAACAAGCAAAGTCTTTATTTACTGAGGGTATACATTTGGTTACCCAATTTTACATGTAGGCCTCAAAAACATAATTTACAAATATACAAAAAAAATAGAAATTGATTTAACTGTTATTGGAAATGCAAATGTGATGTTTAAAAGGACAGAAAAAATGTCTAACCTGTCATGTGTCTGTATAAAATGCTTTTTTTGCTGACATATGATTTTCATACTTCTTAATTTTTTTTATAAATGAATTATGACATTTTCAACTTTTTTGATGTTTACCAGGTTTATTGGTTTTTCATGTAGTATGTGTTTATTTCTAGTTTTAATTACATGTATTGTTATTCATATTTATATGTAATTGTTTACTTATATTGATGATTCTAAGTTAGTTATGTCAAAACAAAGATTTAGAGGTCTATCACTTATATTGGTAGTTTGTTGGGTTTTAATTGAGTATAATTGGAGTTTGAAATAATATGGAATGCAATATTTCATGTTTTTTTGGCTTCTGTAACTTTTTTTGGATATTTTGTTCAATACAGACTTCTAAAGTAATATAAATTTATTATAAATTAATAAGGTATTAAGTTAGAAAGTAAGTAATTAAATTTTATTAGAGTGACATTGTGTTATGTACAATATAGGGTACAATATAGAAAAAATACATATAACAAATTACAACATCCTACCACGTTCAGCCTATATGTCTCTTCAAACTACAGTAAAAACTCTGAAAACCGGACCCTCTGAAAACCGGAATCCTCTGAAAACCGGACCATTTTAAAAGTCCCGTATTTTCTCCGTATATGTTCATTGAAAAAAAATCCTCTGAATACCGGAACCTCTGAATTCCGAAAACCGGACGATTTTCTATGGTTTCTAATGCTAAACATGCATAAAAGATCCTCTGAAAACCGGACAGCAATTTAAAGTGTCAACTTTCTGTGTACTTTAATGTAGATCTTAACACAATCTCACATGTTCAAATTCCAGGTAATGGTCATCTCCATTTATATATGCAGGTGTGAAAACACTTGTCAGTGTATGTCAATTAAATTATAGCTCATTCATCATATTTGTGTCTTTCCTCCTTGAGATATGATTTTTCAAAAATGCTTTTAATGTGTTATAAATGTTTTTTTTAATATAAAATGACTAAAAGAGTTGGGAATCTTTTTTTTAAATGATTCCTGTTTTGCTTTAAATTTTGATCTTGAAGTAATCTTTGTTTTGATATCAATTATATACAAAAATTGTAATACTTAAAAAATTCCATTAATTACATATTTCAAAGCTAATGAAAAAGATATTATGATATATTTCAGACAATATGGTGTTTTAATTTCTGATTTTCTGAATTATATTCATTTTGCATTAAAGATCACTTAAAACATTTATTGCAAAATGAAATTATAATATAACTTATATATATAATATAACCAAAGGGTTGAAAAGTAAATACAAAATGATTGAACAAAGTCATTGTTCAAACACATCATAATTATCAATGAATGTATAAAACCTCTGAAAACCGGAATCCTCTGAAAACCGGACTTTTGGTCAAGTCCGGACAGGGTCCGGTTTTCAGAGTTTTTACTGTATATGCAATTCATGAATGTGATTTACAGTTAGTTCAATAGGAAGTATTATATCTCTACCATTTTATACTATGTTTATTTCAGACTATGTTTAGATCATTTTAAGTATCTAGGAAAGAAGAAGATAGTAACACTGAGTGTTATAGGTGACAGTAGTATGGGACGTAAAGGACATTCATTACCGAACCGGAAGTCGGCTCAAATACCAATTCCCAACGGCAGCCTTCCACCAACCTTACGCAGTGTCAGCCAATATGGGGATTACCCTCCAGACGCCGTGTTTCACAGTATGTAGAAAATTTATTTACTGACCTCTCTGTGTATGTCATAGTACCAAATAACTGACCCTTTTTACTAACATTCTATCATAAGCTTTTAATGCAAAGAAATTGTTTTACTTCAATGTATTAGTGACTTCATAAGTTTTAAAAATGGAAAGGAATTGCTTCTTATAACTTTGTATCAAAATGTAATGCAACTGACAGTTTGAGACCTCAGTGCAGTAACTGGTTTACTCCATATATAATTTAGTTGGAGTTAATTCGTTATTGCGCTAAGTTTACAAAATTTATGCTCATTGATAATATGCAGCAAATAGTGGAGACTTCAACTCTTGAGTCTTCAAGTCCCAAGGTAAAAGCCCTGCATGGTCAGATTATAAAATACCCATTAAACGCCTCACACACTGTGAGGTGGACATATCAAATGCTATTTTGTTGCCAAAAACAAAACCACTGTACACTGACTGTGTAGTGCAAAGCCAAATAAAAGGTAAAACATGGCTCATTTTCCCAATCCTCTGTATTCAGCGCAGGTTTGGCTTCTAGAGATTTTACTGGCCACTAACTAATAAATATCATGCACTGTTGTTACACGTTTGTTTGTTAACTTTGTGGCAAAGATTAATATTAGAAATTTTCATTTGCTATTGTTAATTCATTAAAAAGATTTTGCACAAATTTTAACATACTACATGTATATGAATGTAAACTTTTTCATTTTTTGTTTAGCCTTCCCCTGAAAAAATAGGTAATTTTGAGAGGCAAAAATCTCTTCATGTTAAAGTGTTTGCTTTCATTTCGCATTTTTAATGGTTCTTTTTATAATTAAAGATTTGTAAGAAAAATATCTTTTTTTTTTACTTCCAAAATATATATCTTGTAGTGGAATTGTGCATGGTTTATTGCTCAAATGAGCAGGAATAAAATCATGAATGATTTATTTTAAAGCATTTGAATGATAAATCGTAACACACTCCTTTTTTGTGCCATGCATATCTCATGCAATAATGCACTTAACTATCCTACCTGTTTGATAAGGGAATAGATTGAAGCCAGTGTCTATTCTAGGAGGGGGGATGGGGGGATTCACCAATTTTTTTGGAATCCCCCCCCCCCCAATTTTTTCAGAGGCAAGGGGGAAATTTTACATAGAGAAAGAAGGCAAAAGATCAACAAGTGTAATGAATTCTCATTTTTCCATAAAAATCACCCCTGTTTTTCGAATCCTAGAATAGAGACTGGAAGCTTGTTAGAATTTTTTATGTATTCATTATGATAAAAAGATCACAAACCAACACAGGTTATCAAAACCTGTTTCACTATATATATATTAATAAGTTTTATTTACTGTAGTAAGACTTTTCAATAGTCCATCTTAAAATGTCACAGGAAGTTTGTTTTTATTGTGCTAGTATGCTTGCCAAAGTGGGTAAGAGAAGATCAGTGTAAGACGAATGACAGTAATGAACATGGTAACATATCTCACACCCCTCGTTCACCCTGCTTTACCCCTAAACCTGCTGAATTTGTGAAATGAACTTGCCCAACTTTGAATTTGGAAGAGTTCATTCAAAGTTTAAGGGATTTAAATATCAAAATACGAAAGTTAAGCTGTGAAAAGTATAGAACCTGGTCAGACTGCACAGATTTCAAATTGTAATGTTCCTGTAATAGATAACACTACACAGATGGACTCAACGTTCATGTTAGGTAACAGCAGTTTCAGGGTTTAAGCAGGTGCAAGTTAAACTTGTTCTTTATTTTGGAATGAAGTGTGTCAGCGGACTAGCGCTCAGTAAGTCATAGGCTGGCAAAATACATGAAGTAATTTGTAATCCTTGACTGAAGTCGTGCTGAATATTCTTCTAAATTGAGGGGGACAGGTTGTTTGCTGTGATAACATTGGTTTATATATGAGCAGCGTCACGACAAAACCAACAAAGTGCATTTGCGACCAGCATGGATTCAGACCAGCCTGCGCATCCGCGTAGGCTGATCAGGATCCATGCTGTTCGCTATCAGTTTCTGTACTTGTAATAGAGTTGGTAAGCGAACAGCATGGATCCTGATCAGACTACCAGTGTTCGAAATTAGCAGTAGTCCTATAGCCCCTGACTACTAAATTTCTCCTCGGGCTACCAACTTTTCACAGTAACAAGCCCGACCAGGCTACTGTATTTTCAGAGGCAATATAAACAACTGTTTTGAACAAATGATTTGTGCTAGTGAAATGTCTTTTGGGCTAGTGAATATTCCAATCTGGTAGTCCAACCAGTCTAGTGGATTCAAATCCTAATTTCTTACACTGGACTGCGTGGATGCGCAGGCTGGTCTGGATCCATGCTGGTCGCAAATCCATTATGTTGGTTTTGTTATGGCGCGGCTCATTTGTCACAGATGGCTTAACTTTTGATTTTGAATTCTGAACCATGTTTAGAAGATATCACATGGTCTCTTTTACTTCTTTAAAGAATGGAAAAAAACTGAAGTCACGGTGCATATCCATATCGGTACCCTCTTTGCGAAATCTGCTGAAACGGTACCCTCTCTGAACATGCACAGGTCATCGTTAATCGTTAAGTGTGTATGTAATACTTTTTACTTTTATGTAAATATTACATACTTAACGATTAACGCAAATAAAAGCATATATGTCGTGCTTTGAGGGTACCTATGTGTTAAATAATGAGAGGGTACCTGTGATATAAAAATTCAAATGAAGAGAGGTAGCCCGTGCCGCTGCAAAACCGAAAGTAGGGTGTTTTTATGAATTTTAGATTTATTTTTGACAATATACTGCCATTTGTCCGAAGATGATATGTATATGAACATATTAAATATGTATGATGCATATATAATCAAGCCACAGGTTCATTTCAGCCCGAAAAATATATCGAGGTGATGGGCGAAGCAAGACATGTCGATTTTTTGTAGCTTATTGTGAAGTTGCAGTAAATGAAAATCGGGCACATGACAAATCAGTACATAAATAAAAACATCCTAGTGTTCCGTAGTATACATCTTTTCTACGTGACATACCTCCTTTCCTTATTACAATGAAATTTTACTGGATTGGTATCCATCACTGGTTTGTTTTTAGCAGAGAATGACCTGTGCATGTTCAGAGAGGGTACCGTTTCAGCAGATTTCGCAAAGAGGGTACCGATATGGATATGCACCGTGGAAGTGGCTAGATTATAAGCACAAGTCTGTGGTTTTAAGAAATAGCTGCATACGATCCTGAACTCTTCAGGTTTGGATTAAGCTGGAACTTTTTTGCACCTAGCAACATGCTTAAGTTCTGCAGAACTTTTTTTTAAAATCTATTTTGCTGTTTCTTCTTCCTAAATTTGTGTGTGTATTCTAAAATTTATGTTTAAAGGGAACAGAAGTAGAAAGTATCCAACCAGAAACAAATCATCAGATTACATTGGATAAACTAAACACTATTTCATTAAATAAAACAAGCACTATTTCACTTAATTCATGGTCTTAAGTTGATTTACTTATTTGACTTTACAATGTTGCATTTAGTAACTTTGTTTGTTCAAGTCTTAGTTGTTGTGTTGTTTTTTTAATGTTCAAAAATTCTGTATAACAGAATCACATACTTTCATTATTGTTATAAATTTTATACATTCTGTAAAATAGAATACTATCACTAATGGCATTGTAACTGAATTTGTTTATTATTTTTTTCACACATTGATATTTCTAAATTTTGTCATAAAGACCTACATTACCACATTGTTATAGTCCCTGACTCAGATTTACTTCATTATCTATATACATGTACCGTACTTGAATCTTTATGAATTTTTTTTTATTTTTTAATTGAAAAGAAAAGATTCTGTTAGCATATAGAAGAGTCTCTTTCCAAGATGTATGTTTATATTGTTGACTTTGAGTCACCACTACTTATTTTAATCTTTGTAAAGGCCATAAATTCTTTCTCAAGAGGAAGCCACTACTCTGCTTGCTTACAAGAGACCCTGACTTAAGCGTGCCTGCGTGCGCCTCGAGTAAAACAAAGGATGTACACTGTTTCTGGGTCTTCCTTCTGGTGAAGCTGGAATATAGTAGAAAAACTTAAAATCTGTATTTTAATCAATCATGTTGCATGAATTTCTTATAGAAAAATTATTTTATTTTTAACTAACAGGCAAAATTTTGACAAAAGAATGTTATTTGTTCATTTTTTTTGTAATTCTTTGAAAATCTATAAACTTTATAAAGCTACCTTGTTATACATGAGCAACTCTGATCATTTCCCTTTGCTATATGTATGATTTATTGACATACATGTAATATTTCAGTGACCACCTCGTCGGAAGCTGATGCATTGATGCGAGCTTTATCCGAGGCAAACATGGCAACAGAGACAGGCCTCATTATATTAGATGTCCTTGTGGTATACACAGACAAATTTAAGGTTACTATAATAATTTATATCATTCTAGTACAAATGAATCTTCTTGTAATTATTTATATATTAACTGTTACATGTATTTAACAAGATATTACAAAAAATTTCTCAGTACAAACCTGTTTTCTTTTCCACATATGATTTACAACTTCTTCGGAACAGAACTTAACTTCCTTGGAAGTCAACAGTATAAATCTCTCTTTTACCATTGTTATGAAAGGCTTATTTTATGATTTGATTTGAATTTTTATTGATCAGTTATATTGATAAAGTAAGTAAATGTGATGTCAAAGGTTAAGTGTAGGAATTGTTTTACAAGCACTTTTCAAAGAAATCAGTTGATTTTAAAACAATTCTTTCTCTTTTTACTTCAGAATGAGTTGGCGCATAGAGATGGTGATAACACATTAATGGAAACAGTGTTTGATTTATACTTATCCTTCCTGAAAACTAGCCAATCAGAAACCTTACAGAAACATGTGTTTGCTGTATGGAGAAGCTTTATTAGAAAGGTATGGTAGTGTTTATTTTGTAATTTTAAATACATATATTACATCACCATATTTTTATAAAGCCGTCCAGTTAGCTCAATAAGTAATGTGTTTGACTGTGAATCAAGCGACCCGAGTTCGATTCCCAGATGGTGCAGGTCACTTTAGTTGTGGTTGATCATGTAATCCTTTCTATGGTCATTCCTGCTGTTTCTCTGCTCTAGCATTTACTGAAGTTTCAGTTCCTTGCGAAAGTGAAGGCAACTGGTACTTGTAAACTGCTTGACAGCTTGTCTAGGAACATAAAGCTAGTGTATTGAAGATTGATAGTCACTGACTTCAAATGCTAACAAAAATCAACACATTATGAAAAATATCATTGACTCAGTAATTATTCTGTCGCCTGATAAATGAGAGATATTTTATGTTAAGGTGATTCCGCTTTGTCAGCCATATTTGTTTTCACAAAGTCTGTCCAAAGTGAAAGTAGGCCAAAATTCATATACTAACAAAGCTCACATTGTAATATGATGAGCCATTTGTAATCCCACAGACAACTCTTGATGTATTTAATGAAATTTAGAATTTTAGACAATATATAGGAAGAACATGTATACTTCTAATTGATTTTGAAAATTCTTAACTTATTTGTTTTTTGTTTTTTTTTCAGTTTCCAAATGTTTTATTCAAGGGAGATGCGACTCTTTGTGGAAAGCTATGTTATGAGGTAAGTGTAATGTTTTATTGTAAAGAATCTTTAACTAAACTGCATAAAAATAAAAAGCTAAATATTTCATAATGCATTGATAAACTTATTGTGTATAGATTTGTATGTAATTTGATGAAGAAGTAAAGGTTATAAGTTGGAAAGAAAGGATGAAACATACACTTCTTGCAAAATATTGGTGTTATGTCCAGCAAGATATTCTTTTGAATTACTTCTTCAAATCAGATAGATACTCAATGGTCAAATGGTTAAGTTTTCTGGCCACAACAGATTATTGCTGATTTTCATGTTTGAAAATTGTGTTTAAAAGTAAATATATTGTGAAGTGAACAAAGAAAATAATTTACACATTGCAAACAGAGCTTACAATACACAATATTACCAAAAAGTGGTCAAAATATGCAAAAATAGCCCTTATTGCAGTACAACTGTTGTAGGGTATCAATGTATAAGTACTTGCCAGGAAGAAATGTTAAAAAAATTAACAAGAGTTCAAGGTTAGCACCTGATATTTTGCAGCAAAATTTATCCAACAATCTGGTCATAATGAAACCCCTTGTACATTTCTGGATGAAATGTAGGCTACTATAGAGGGTCATTCTACCACAATGCTTTTCTGCCCTTGAAATAATGCAAAGCCAAGTACCTGTTATTGTCCTTCATACAAAATGCTATACAGTCATCATGTTACTCACCTGAAAATCAAATCAAAATGAATGTAACCTTTAAGTTACAGCTTTAACTTTATCAGTGCAACACAGGTTTTATTCAAATATGAAATAAATCTATTGTTTTTATTCCAGGTTTTGAAATGTTGTAACTGTAGATTAAAGTCTACCAGAAAGGAAGCCTGCATTCTCTTGTATAACTTGATGAAAGCTAACTTTGAGTTCAGTAAAAAGAAATCATTCACACGTGTTCATCTACAGGTAGGCTGCCACAAAGTGGCACTTTATTGAAATTGTTTTTGAAATTCAGTCTTAGTGGACCTTTTCAGTGTTTACAGTTTTATGTAAATTGGCAGATGGTGACTGGCCCTTTTGCTACACTTGAATTATACATAGTCATTGGTTGACTTGGTTTTCACAAAGAACACATTGTTTTGTTTATGATACTGTTTTGCATGAGTTGTTGACCTAGCAATGAATAGAGAAGAAAATTTTCATTTCCAAAAACCTGGAAAGGTCCATTTGGTTGATTGTTATATATGAGGGAATTACCTGAACACCTTGCTTGAAAATTATTGACGTAGCCATTGACCGAAAGTCACATAAAGATCATCTTTGACTAGTAATCTAAGGATTGCCTAGCTGTGTGGGTTCAAACCCCATCATCAGCAAGACGTTGTTTCTTTGAGCAAGACACTTATTGCTCAGTACTTTGTGGTTCCAGGGACGGTTTCAAAAGTGTGTCTATAAGCTTATAGCTTCCTGCACAATCAAACTAAAATATATTCTGAGTGTCTAAACTAAGATCATGGCACCACTCAAACATGTATATTAAGTTGTTATATACATGTATAATATAAATTTTGGTTATATGAATTTTGCTAAAAATTTAACAAATAAGATCAAGTTAACTTAATTAAAAAATGTTTTGGGTATTTATCATTAATTGTTGTTGTTTTTTCTAGGTGATTATATCTGTTGCCCAGTTGATAGGAAATGTTGTAACCCTTAGCAACTACAGGTTTCAGGAGAGTCTCGCACTTATCAACAGCTACGCAAATTCTGATAAAACCATGAACGTAAGTAAACCTTGAATTAAACTTTAAGTTTAAGTAGAGGAATTGATAAATAGGACTTAGTAGTGCTATGTTAAAGCAGCATGGTTTCAAGCAGCATACCTCCAGATCCATTCTAATGCTGTATGACAATTTAGAAAGTAATTTCGAAATAAAAAATATTTGTCAAGTGAACATAATGAGCTAAATTTACGGAATGAATGATCAACATAGAATCTTTAATTGCTATAATTATGTCAAAAATATACCAAAAGAAGCCCGTACTTTAGTAATGACATAGATATATTGATAACAGTTGTAATTTATGATGTGGATTGAGAATATTTGTATTTATTTCTCAAAATCTTAATATGTAACTTGTTAAGTTAGATCTTAAAAAAAAAAATTGTACATCTGGAGGCATGTAGCTGAAATGCTTGTTTTGAAGTAAATGAACACACAACTTCTGCTTTCAATAGAGAAACTTTGGCCTACCTACGGAAATGAAGTTCATCTATTTGGCAGTTGCTGATTGTATTTATAAGCCTATGATTAATATGAACTACATGTCAAGGCAATGAATCGGTACCAATGGTTTAGATAATCAGTTTAGTGTGCCGTAAATTATTTGAGAATGTATAAATATTTGGTATTATTGTTTTAATAGGATATATTTTATGTTGAGGGGACGGGGACATGCAAATAAATCAAGATGTAGAAGATGACATTTTTTGTGTTGATTTCTTTAATATTTTACTAACCATCATATTGAAGCTTTTTCAAAGAATAGATAGTGTCTACATTTCAAAAACCTTGAAATTTGGTGCTTTTACTAATTTGTATTGCTGTGCACAAGTTTATTTGTTCTTGAAATTCTGATATGTTAGTAACATTACCTGAATTTTTTCACCTTTGTTAACCCCTTACAGGTGTCGTATGTGTTTCAAATGTTTGAACAACAGGTAGTAAATCTGTTATAATTGCATCGTGAATAATTTATCTGCTTTGTCAACCTTCTCCTTGCATTTCTCTTCCCTGTTTTACTTTCCAAATTTATACTTATGTATGGTTGATGATGTTTAATATCATTACCATAGTAACTGGCATAAGTATACTTACTTGAACAAAATTGAGCATCCCCGCAGTCTGATCAGGATCCATGCTGTTCGCTTACAGACCTTATAACAAGTAGAGAAATTGATAGTGAACAGCATGGATCCTGATTAGACTGCGCGGATGCGCAGGCTGGTCTGGATCCATACTGGTCGCAAACGCACTATGTTGGTTTTGTCGTGACGTGGTTCAAATTCTTTTTAATACATAAGATTTTCACCAAATGATATTGATGAGTTTTTATAAGTATACTTTTTAACACTGTATTTGTTGACGTTTGTATCTTTTGTAATGATATTTTTGCTATAAATCGAATTACCAGTTCATCCTTATTTAATGATTACTTGAGTCTGCACACTAAGCTTAATGGGGAGTGCAACAGATTTGTAATATAGGGGTCACTGGTTCAAACCTTGGATGAGGTGAAATTTTTTAGTGACCACTTATCTTGGACATATATGATTAAGCTGATCTAAAGGATTTAACTGAGCTGACCATTTAACTATACATGTAGATTTAAATTACGTTTTCACTCTTTATTCCTCTTATTCCCATTGGCTTTTATGATTGAGGAAACACACTTTCTTCAATCAAATTTTTATTTCACGCTTCTTTTTATGATGATGAAATGTATTAATGGAAGTGACCTTTTACCTTTATGCTCTTTTATCTTCTTTCATGACTTTATACAGCAGATATGGCCATCTTTTTTTTTTTTTTTTCCAGGTCTTATTATAAAATGGTCTATGTGAACTTTTTCTCTATGCACATAATTCTTGATGTACTGATTACCAGTGTGTTAGGAACTATTCAGTCTTAATAAAACTACATGTATGTTTAAAAACATCTGAAGCACGTTTATTTCAAGAAAATTGAAAGAAATAGCAAGAAAAATGAAAGTTCATTAACAGTTGTGTATAAAAACATTTTTACAAACCACTGAATATTTTCTGATTTGTTTTTCTATAATAAGTAACATTTGGTAATCAGTATTAAACTTTAAAACATCATAAATATGGAGACTTATCATGGTTGCACTCATACTTTTTCTTAAATGAGGTATAGAAAAGGACTTTCCTATTTATATGTGCATGTATTTACTCTGTACAAACACAAATAATTATAAGTATGGTAGTAAAAAATGAAACTGACATTTTACATATTTTTTGCTAGACATGGATAATGTGAAAGAAAATGACACTACAAACCTTCCCATCCTTTGTACACAAGATAATGAATTTGTCTAGTATGAATCAGTGTATAAACATACAGTCCTAATCTACATGGATACCACTTCCCTTCACCGTATTCCATTTCCTTTCACCAAAGACTTATATAAGATGGAAATTTAGCAGAGAGAAGTTTTTTTTATAATTATTGAACCAGTATGTAAAAGTTTTAACATATCTCAAATACTGTATCATTAATTGTCCTGGATGCTCAATAAAACTACTTGAAATCTAAGGACTAAATGTAATAAACCCTTACCACTGGTATAAAGCAAGGGCAGCCTGCACATCTGTGCAATCTGATCAGGGTGTGACCAACTTAAAATTTTATTTTCAATATCTAATCTAAAAATTGATGTTCAGTTCCAAAAAATGGAAGTGAAACAAAAAGAACAGAGAAAAACAGAATCCATTATAATAAAAATCCCAACAAGGTAAAATTGAAAATGTTGGAGACTTGGTTTGATTGAGCCTGTTCATGGATGGTAGTGGTAATTACAAGCTGCCACCCATGTCCCCCTAGCACCGACTGTAAGTTGATTAAGTATATTCAACAGGTTATTGGATAGGGAATATCAAGAAAGTGCATTGAAGATTTACAGTAATGAAATTTTGATGTTGAGATTATTTTATTAAAATGACTACATGTTTAATTTAGCTGCCTATATATGGCTCTGATTACGAGGTAAGTTGTTACAAATATATTTCTTGGTGTTTTATTCTAATCAAGTATTTAGTTTTGATACTTGGAAAAAAATCACATGCTATGCCATAATTTTGGTAACAAAATTATACACTGCATGGTCTTATTATTATAAAATATCATTTAAACTATAGTATGTCAAAAAATTTGTGTATACTTGCTTAACTAAATGTCAATAAAAATGGATTATATTCCATTATTCATGTAACTATGTCACGAAAGATAGAAATGAATTTATTCCATTATTCATGTATATGCCATGAAGATTAAAAACAAATTTTATTCCATTATTCATGTATGTCATGAAAAATAATAACAAATTTTATTCCATTATTCATGTATGTCATGAAAAATAATAACAAATTTTATTCCATTATTCATGTATGTCATAAAGAATAAAAACGAATTTTATTCCATTGAATTTTATTCCATTATTCCTGTATGTCATAAAGAATAGAAACTTATTTTATTCCATTATTCCTGTATGTCATGAAAAATTAAAACATTTAAATCGTGGTATACTAGTTTAGATAAACATTTAATCCACATTATGACTGTCTTGAATAGACTAACTTTTTAGATTAGTGTAGACCATTAAAAAAAAATTAACATGTAAACAAGGTTATGTCATGGAAAGTTAAACATCTAAACTAATATGTTTATAGTGTGGATATTTAAGAGTGTGTACATGTGCCAAGGAAAATAATAAATAACCTTGTTAATTATGCCTCGGAAAACTTCTTAAATTCTATTATTCTACGGAATGATGTTTCTTGTTAAAGGGACTCCACTGAGGTTTTTTCAACATGGCAGGACAAGAAATATTTTTCAGAGACTTTTGTATCATTTGATGTAGGTCTGGACCAATAACTTGTGTCATTCGCTCCCCGTCACCTCACTTTTCCAGATTAATAATTTTTAATATGCAAAATGACCCAATCTGACTCAGAATCGAACATAAAAATTAATTTTATATTTAACTCTAAGTATATTTCTTTACTATCTTTTGCAGATTTTTTTCCTTTTAAGTGCTCAATTTGATTTTTGTAAGATTTTCAAATTTTATGTTTTTAGGCTTTTTGACCTTAGTGAAGTACCTTTAACAAACTGTATATGCAATGTAAAATTATATCTTAAAGCAACTGCTTGTCATTGAAAACTAAATTATTAAACCACCATGATCATGTGATGGAATTATGCTCATTTAAAGGATTATATTCTCTATAACTTAAATTGAAAATTGAAAAAAAAAGTAAGCGAGCAAAACAAAAAAGGAAATTGCTTTTACACTTAACGATTTGTAGTGGTTACTGTATATGCCAGTATGACCTGGTGCAGACCAAGACCAGTAGGCACATATGTGCTGTAGATCATGGCTTACACTGTTGGCTATTCAATTATAAAATGAATTTTGTAATTTTCTCTAAAAATGATGAATGGTTTTGTCTAGATTGTAAGGTAGACAAGTCTATATAAGATTTTTAGGGTGGTAAGGGTTTATGATTAATAATCCTCTCAACTTCTTTCTTAATTTCTTGATCATCTGTATGAACATCAGTTCTTTCTAAAATCATATCTGCTTTTTCTGTTGTCACCGTTTTCTGTTCTTTTTCTAGTTGGGGATGACTTGTTTGGTATGCCTTCACAAATCATTTATACAGTGATATTTATAAAAAATGGAAATTAAGTTGTTGTGTTTCTTTTTTGTTCCATTTTTTTTATTTAAAGAAATACTCCTACAAATAATATCTCACAAACCCCAGAGATACTAAAGGTCCAATTCCTTAGATACTTATACTTGAGGTAACTCACAAAACAATGTTAAAAAATGAGGTCAAATTCTGGAGTTACTTGAGGTCAAATCCCAAAGTCACTTGAGGTGTCAAATTCCAGAGCTACTTGAGGTCAAATTCCAGAGCTACTTGAAGTCAAATCCCAGAGTATCTTGAGGTCGAATTCTGGAGTAACTTGAGGTCAAATCCCAAAATTACTTGAGGTCAAACCCGAGAGTATCTTGAGGTCAAATCTCAAAGTAACTTAAGGTCAGATTCCAGAGTTACAAAAGATCAAACCCTAGAGTTACTTATAGTCAAATACCAGAATTACTTAAGGTCAAATCCCAGAGTTACTTAGGGTCAAATCCCAGAGAAACTTGGACCAGATGGTCACATGTAATATGTTCAGCTTAATAATTAAGTTTTGATTTTTTGTGTATTTGTGTTTAGTTGTTTTATGTGTTTCAAAAATCATTGGCATTTTTTAATATTACACAATCATGTACATTGACAGATTTGTATGTTACTTTTCTTTTGTTATATGAAATAATGTTTTTGCATCAATATTTGGTTACATTATTCTTGCATTCAAATAATTTTCCACTGTGTAATTCAGTTATACTTTAAGCACACCGGAATGATACTACTGGTGATTCTATGTACATGTGTTGTTCTTGTTGTTGCAAAATTTAGGCTAAGTTTGATTTTAAGATAAAATGTACCGGAAAGCTATGACTTTACTAACAAAGCAAACATTGTTTTATATCTTCTTCTGTTTCATCAAGCATATCTCATTTGTCACTTAATAAAATATAGTTAATATACCTTCATCACTACCATATTCTTCAATTTCTTTGATAGCCGCCACATGGTCATACTTTTAGCATAGGTTTGTCTTCAATTAAAAATTGAAAACAATTAAAATTTGAAAATTTTCACATTTAATGAGTAAATTGTTAATTTTGTTTGCAGAAAACCAAGTTTTCACATGAGGTTAAGGATCTCACTAAGCGTATAAAGACTGTAATGATGGCCACGGCCCAGATGAAGGAGCACGAGGGTGATCCGGAAATGTTGATCGACTTACAGTACAGTCTGGCAAACTCATATGCCAGTACACCGGAATTACGGAAAACATGGCTAGAATCAATGGCAAGAATACACACAAGATTTGGTAACCATTCTGAGGCAAGTTTTACAAATATATATGTATCATTTCATTAATTTACAGGTTGTAGGGGTCTCAGCTTGGACTTTGTTGGAGTGGTTTTAGTGTTGTTCTTTTTTTTTGATACCTACTCCTATAATGTATAACATATGATTTTTTAATGAACAAAGGTAATCATATTAATTTCATGCTTTAAGAAAGCTTGAAATTAATAAAGCATTTAAGCTCTTTAACTAGTGGAATAAAATTTCTTTGGGTTTATTTTGTCATAATTAACTGGATCCAAGTTGTATTAAGAAATGTTGTCTAGCTATTTTTAAGAAGATTTACACTGTAGAAAATGAAATACAACCACTGCGTTGCATAAATTTTTTAGATGATTTGAGCTGCGTCATGACAAAACCAACAAAGTGCGTTTGCGACCAGCATGGATCCAGACCAGCCTGCGCATCCGCGCAGTCTGATCTGGATCCATGCTGTTCGCTTACAAGCTCAATAACAAGTAGAGAAACTGAAAGCGAACCACTTGGATCCTGATCAGACTGTGCGGATGCGCAGGCTGGTCTGGATCCATGCTGGTCGCAAACCCATTATGTTGGTTTTGTTGTGACGCGGCTCATTTATGAAATATAAACAATTTTCTTTGTAAACAAAAGTTTGGTTTTATTCTTGTAGGCTGCTCATTGTTATGTACATATAGCTGCGCTGGTAGCAGAATACCTGAAGAAAAGAGGTGAGTTTTAGACCTGTATAACATTAAACTTTTGATTAATAAACAGTTTTTACCATATATTCCATAATATTCTATCATAGGTTAGTTTCATTGTTAGAAGTGGCATAAATATAACTTGTTACATTAGACATGAATACCAGCAATGGAAATTATGAAAAGAATATATACGGCAGATCTCGGGACTAAAAGCTTTAATATTATTTTACTCTAGCTGATACAGATTGCTACCTTTGGTCAAATTGAGACGTTTTTGCATAGGAAACCAATTATGAGCTACTAAGCACTAAAAATAGTTGGATTTGATGTTCATTCGGCAGTTATTACTTTTATGGCCTCATTATAATATATTTTGAGCTGAATTTTTTTGCGAGTTAAAATTATGTTTTATATCTTTTTTTCTATTGCAAACAAATAGGAAAAATTAAATCAAGTAAGTTTGATGCCCAGTTGTCAATGTTGTTTGTTCTCTTTTCTTATTATTCTTTTGTTTGAACATTGTCCCCATTTCTTGTTGTGCATTTTTACATTGTTCCATTTATCAATATTGTAGTTTTTTTTTTCTGTTGTACAATATTACATTTGACCCCATTTTTTTCAGCTTACCATAGCATATCATGCTCATGGTGGGCTTTTGTGATCTCTGTCTGTCTGCCCAGTCCACATTTTTCCAATGGAAATTGTTTCCTATTTCATGGATAATTCATAAAAATGTTACTTGACTGACTCCCCGTTGTAAACTTGTTAAAATCTGTGTATATTTTGCATAACTACAATTGTCATTGCAACAAGGGATGTCTTTAAGAATATTCTTGTCATAAACAGTTTGTCTGGTTTTGATAGGATTTCACAAAAATGTTTATAGATTTCTTTAATATTACCAAGATTTTTTAGGGTATTCTGTGGCCGAGTGGTTTAAGGTTGTTGACTTTAAACCACTTGAACCTCGCCTCTTTGTGTTCGAATTACGACAGGGACTTTGGATTTCTTTCATATGAGACAGCTATCAAGCTAGCTTACGGAACATTAGTGGTTCTACTTGGGTGCATGTTCGTACCTGAAATAATGCACGAAGGGCCAACTAAAGTCTTCCTCCAACTGTAAAGCTGGAAAGACGCCATACAACCTGTACTATGTTATGCGATAAAAAATCCAAACCAAAAAAACTCAACAACAAAAAATAAAAACAGATCTTTTAAATGTTAAGGATTTGTCAGAAAGTGTAGCAGGGTCTAGTTCTCTTGCATACATCATACTCTGGTGAGTGATTCCTGTATTGACAGCAAGCAGTTTAATGCTGGCCTCTTTTATCATATTTTTATTGTTGTTTACATTTGCATTTCTATTCAATGTTTTGATTGCTGAACATTTTTGTAATGCCCTTTATTTTTCAATGATCATTTTCTTACTGTGCATTTGACCTTTGGCAATATTCTGGATATTTTTTATATGTTTGAAGTTTTAGCATTACTCGGCACAGAGCTTTTGAGCAATAATTATTGCTTTACATAAACAGATAATTGAAATAAACAAAGTTTGAAAGAATTTTTATAGAGATACTCGGTAACTTGGCAAATGTGGGATTTCTTGGCAAATGTGGGATTTCCCCCATCAATTTCAGGGAAGCAATTACAACTTGGTAAATATATCAATAATAAGTGCATATGGTTGATCACTCCTTCATGAAGGTTAGTGCACTGTGAAGCTGTAACAGTCAAAGTTTGTTTTTTACTTGGGGATTAGATGGGAAAAACATCATTGGAGTATTGATGGAGATTTGAACCATGGTGGGAATGGGGGAGGGGTTTTTTGTGATGGGTTTGAAGTCTTGGCATAGCATGTTTCCTAATGGCTGCATCAAAAGATTTCTGTTAAAGAACAATGCCTCTCAAAATCATGAATATTTGATGCATGGGTGATTATTTTTCAAATCTTATGAATTTCTTTGTTTACATTTTAAGCTAAAATAAAAATTATTTGAAGCAGTGAGGGCATTACGAAGAACAAGGTCAAAGAATTGATAATGTTAAGTTTTTATATAGGTATAAAATCATTGCAGCAGTAAATACAGGCCTATGCCACTAGTATAGAGCCGGTTCAGTCTGCACATTCTTGCAATCTGGCCTACCATTCGCTTCTGAATTTAGCATTTTTTTTTATCAAAATGTCTCATATTTACAATAGACACCGTGAATGCCAATAAAGATACCCCGGAACCATGGCAAATGTTAGTTTTTCCCTGCTAATCCTGGAGTACAGCCATACTTTTTTAGTTTAAACTTTTTAGATATATTGATAATAACCTCATCATGGTAATTGCTCTATTGTGAACATTGCCGCATTTTGAAGCTAAAATGTTTAAAGACGTTTAATGTACCACAGAATTAGATGGGGAAAACCCACATTTGTCTAGTTCCGGATAACATCTATTTAAATAAGTATGACAAATACATGATACGAGGTAAGTATGATTAAAGTTTATGAAACAAAAACTTTGAAATTAGCTTATCTCAATATTTGAAGCAAAGCTTTAATGGTTTGTCTTTATTGTGCATGAGTTTTGATAACATTTTTCTTGCATTGTTATTGTTAATTTTACTTTTTAAACTTAGTTATTTTAGGCTTTAGGCATTTTTTCTCAAAGGAGTACTTAGTGGTACTTAACCTATTGTTTTCCCAATTGTTCTTTTAGTGTAAGACATGTTATAGCCACCTAAGATTATTAGAATAAAAGTTTTACTGTTATTTCCTTTATGTGAGGTGGGTGGGGATGTTGCTAGTGTCTCAAGTTAAGATGCATGAATAAGATGTACAAAGAAAAAAATATATAAAAAAGTAATAAAATTTAGCTAAAAATATAACTGTTATGTATGTAAGATTATTACTGATAAAGTAGTGTAAATTCAAGCTTCAAGGAAAATTTCAGACTTTCTTACATGTCTAAAAATTGTTCTATGAGTGAAAAAAATCAACAACAACTTAGTCAAATTTTATGGAATAAAACAGAGTGACTACATGCAAACAAACTAAATTTACTCGACTGAATAAAAAAAATTGTTGTCAAGATTCCTTATAGTTTTCGTAACACGAACCCTGAAAACTTGTTCTGATTCTTTTTTGCTGTGATATTGATATACATGTACATAGTTAGATTTAGGTTAACCTGGTGTATATATACATGTAGTTCTGTTTGTTATCATTCTAAACATGTGATTACAGATGCGTTTCCTCAGGGTTGTACAGCATTTAAACTGATTTCTCCGAATGTAGAGAAGGAAGAGTCAGGTATCAAAGATGACTCTGGAATGCAGGACGTTCAATATACAGAGGTAAGTCTGATATTAAATCTCTTGGATTGATAATAGACAGACCTAAATTAATTGTCTGGATCATTACATCATACTTATTTAGCAGTGTAAACATGTAAGGGTTATATCCTTTTTCTTAATGCATCCTCTGCCTTGCATTTCTTGCTATGTTTCGATTTATGTATTTTCAGTAATGTCCCATCTTAGCTATGTGAACAATTTTCACAGGCATATCAAAACTTCAAAATGTTGATCATGTTTTATAAAAGAACAGTTTTTAGCTCACCAGAGCCGAACGCTCAGGGTGAGCTATTAGTATCAAAGGGGGATGCTCCGGCGTCCGTCGTCATGCGTCAACAATCGTCTTCTTCTCTGAAACTACTGGGCAGATTTACTTCAAATTTGGTCTGTAGCATCCTTGTGACAGTCACACTTGAATTTGCTGATGTCATTCCAATTGGCCCCTTTTAGGGGTCAGCAGAACTAAAAATAGAAAAACCTTTAAACATCTTCTTCTACAGAACTAATTGATGGATGATTACCAAACTTTGTCTGTAGCATTCTTGGGTAGTCTTTTATTAGCTCACCTGAGCATGCTCAGGGTGAGCTTTTAGGATCGATGATTGTCCGTCGTCCGTCCGTCGTCCGTTCACATTTTGTTGTTAACACTCTAGCGGTCGCATTTTTGCCTCAATCATCATCAAACTTGGTCAGGATGCTTATCTAGTTGATAGCTCGGATGAGTTCGAACATGGGTCATCTCGGATGAAAAACTAGGTCACAAGAGCAAAAAATAGAAAAACCTTGTTAACACTCTAGAGGTCACATTTTTGCCTCAATCATCATCAAGCTTGGTCAGGATGTTTGTCTAGGTGATAGCTATGATGAGTTCAAACATGGGTCATCTTGGATGAAAAAGTAGGTCACCGGAGCTAAAAATAGAAAAACCTTGTTAACAATCTAGCGGTCACATTTTTGCATCAATCATCATCAAACTTGGTCAGGATGCTTGTCTAGGTGATAGCTTGGATGAGTTCGAACATGGGTCATCTCGGATGAAAAACTAGGTCACTGGAGCTAAAAATAGAAAAAACCTTGTTAACACTCCAGCGGTCACATTTTTGCCTCAATCATTCATCAAACTTGGTCAGGATGCTTATCTAGTTGATAGCTAGGATGAGTTCGAACATGGGTCATCTCGGATGAAAAACTAGGTCACAAGAGCTAAAAATAGAAAAACCTTGTTAACACTCTAGAGGTCACAATTTTGCCTCAATCATCATCAAACTTGGTCGTGATGTTTGTCTAGGTGATAGCTTGGATGAGTTCGAACATGGGTCATCTCGGATGAAAAAGTAGGTCACCGGAGCTAAAAATAGAAAAACCTTGTTAACACTCTAGCGGTCACATTTTGGCATCAATCATCATCAAACTTTGTCAGGAAGCTTGTCTAGGTGATAACTCGGATGAGTTCGAACATGGGTCATCTCGGATGAAAAAGTAGGTCACTGGAGCTAAAAATAGAAAAACCTTGTTAACACTCCAGCGGTCACATTTTTTGCATCAATCATCATCAAACTTGGTCAAGATGCTTGTCTAGGTGATAACTTGGATGAGTCCGAACATGGGTAATCCTGGATGAAAAAATAGGTCACCTGAGCTAAAAATAGAAAAACCTTGTTAACACTCTAGAGGTCACATTTTTGCCTCAATCATCATCAAACTTGGTCAGGATGCTTTTCTAGGTGATAGCTCGGATGAGTTCGAACATGGGTCATCTCGGATGAAAAAGTAGGTGACTGGAGCTAAAAATAGAAAAACTTTGTTAACACACTAGCGGTCACATTTTTGCCTCAATCATCATCAAACTTGGTCAGGATGCTTGTCTAGGTGATAGCTTGCATGAGTTTGAACATGGGTCATCTCAGATAAAAAACTAGGTCACCGGAGCTAAAAATAGAAAAACCTTGTTAACACTCCAGCGGTCACATTTTTGCCTCAATCATTATCAAACTTGGTCAGGATGCTTATCTAGTTGATAGCTCGGATGAGTTCGAACATGGGTCATCTGGGATGAAAAACTAGGTCACAAGAGCTAAAAATAGAAAAACCTTGTTAACACTCTAGCGGTCACAATTTTTGCCTCAATCATCATCAAAACTTGGTCAGGATGTTTGTCTAGGTAATCGCTCGGATGAGTTCAAACATGGGTTATCTCGGAGGGAAAACTAGGTCACAGGAGCTAAAAATAGAAAAATCTTGATACTGTTTTGATCCAAATATCCTGTAAATTGGTCTGAAAGTTTGTTTTGATGATTTCTAAGTCAAGTTCGAACATGGGTCATCTTGGATGAAAAACTAGGTCACACCGCCCAAATATGGAAAAACCTTGTTAACATTCTAGTGGTCACATTTTCGACTCAATTATCATCAAACTTGGTCAGGATGCTTGTCTAGGTAATTGCTTGGATGAGTTCAAAATCGCATGTGAAACTAGGTCACCGGAGCTAAAAATAGAAAAATCTTGTTAACACTCTAGTTGCTACTGTTTTGATCTAAGTATCCTGGAAATTGGTCTGAAAGTTTGTTTTGATGATTTCTAGGACAAGTTTGAATATGGGTCACCTGGGTAAAAAACTAGGTCACACTGCTCAAATATGGATAATCCTTGTTAACACTGTAGTGGTCACATTTTTGACTCACCTATCATGAGACTTGGTCAGAATGCTTGTCTAGGTAATTGTTTGGATGAGTTTGATGGGTCAGGTGAGCGATCTAGGGCCATCATGGCCCTCTTGTCAAGTTTACTCATATTAATTTGATAGGCCCCTTTTAGGGGTCTCTAGGGCTAAAAATAGAAAAAACCTTTAAACATCTTCTTCTACAGAACTAATTGATGGATGATCACCAAACTTTGTCTGTAGCATTCTTGGGTACTCTTTTATCAAGTTTGCTCATATGAATTTGATTGGCCCCTTTTAGGGGCCGTTAAAGCTAAAAATAGAAAAACCTTTAAACGTCTATTTCTACAGAACTAATTGATGGATTATCACCAAACTTTGTCTGTAGCATTCTTAGGTAGTCTTTTATCAAGTTTGCTCATATTAATTTGATTGGCCCCTTTTAGGGGTCTCTAGGGCTAAAAATAGAAAAACCTTTAAACATCTTCTCCTACAGAACTAATTGATGGATGATCACCAAACTTTGTCTGTAGCATTCTTGGGTAGTGTTTTATCAAGTTTGCTCATATGAATTTGATTGTCCCCTTTTAGGGGCCACTAAACCTAAAAATAGAAATACCTTTAAATGTCTATTTCTAGAGAACTAATTGATGGATGATCACCAAACTTTGTCTGTAGCATTGTTGGGTAGTCTTTTATCAAGTTCGCTAATATTATTTTGATTGGCCCCTTTAAGGGGTCTCTAGGGCTAAAAATAGAAAAACCTTTAAACATCTCCTACAGAACTAATGGATGGAGGATCACCAAATTATGTCAACAGCATTCTCGGGTAGTGTTTTATCAAGTTTGCTCATATCAATTTGATTGGCCCCTTTAGGGGCCACTAAAGCTAAAAATAGAAATACTGTCAAATGTCTATTTCTAGAGAACTAATTGATGGATGATCACCAAACCTTGTCTGTAGCATTCTTGGGTTGTCTTTTATCAAGTTTGCTAATATTATTTTGATTGGCCCCATTTAGGGGCCGCAAAAGCTAAAAATAGAAATACCTTTAAATGTCTATTTCTACAGAACTAATTGATGAATGATCACCAAACTTTGTCTGTAGCATTTTTGGGTAATCTTTTATCAAGTTTGCTCACATTAATTTGATTGGCCCCTTTAAGGGGCCGCTAAAGCTAAAAATAGAAAAACCTTTAAACATCACCTACTTTAGAACCAATTGATGGATGATCACCAAACTTTGTCTGTCGCATTCTTGGTACTCTTTTATCAAGTTTACTTATATTAATTTGATTAGCCCCTTTTAGGGACCACTTAAGCTTAAAATAGAAAAAACCTTTGAACATCATTTCTTACTGAAATAATTGATCGATGATCACCAAACTTTGTAGCATTCTTAGGTAGTCTTTTATCAAGTTTGCTCATATTAATTTGATTAGCCCTGTTTAAGCTAAAGCTTAAATGCCCCAGGTCATGGCATTTCTTCAAATATTGTTTAAGCATATTCTATGCTCAAGTTTGATATGAGAATATATTGACATTCCAACACTGAAAAGCAGTTGTTTCTGGTGAGCGACTCAGGGCCATCATGGCCCTCTTGTTTAATTTTTAATTAAAGACAAAATATATCAGTATTAGTTTACTTAAATTGAGTGTCCACAATAAAGTCTGGTACTCCTGGAAATGCAGGTTTGGATGTTTTTACTGAAGATGAATAAATAAATTCTTGCCCCTTGTTTGCCGAGGGGTTGCCTTTACCTGTTGAGGCTTTAGAATTGCAGCCACCATTTAACCGTGTGCGACGGTAAGACTAAGTGGGTTTCAATAACTGGAGTCATGCATCTCTTAGTTCCAGCTGTTGAGGTGGTTATGCTCACTGGTGTTGATTTAAGTTTGTAATACCAGAGGTTAGCCAAAATCATCTTTACTGTTTTGGCGCCATATAGCCTAAAATGTGTAAAACTAAACAAAACCAAACTCATTTCAATCCTAATATGCATACCATTGCTTTGAGTTTGGTTAGGTTGGTAGGGAAAGATTGTTCTAAGATGCACAGAAGGGCTGCATTGTGTTAATGAAACATTTTTATGATTTTAACAGTTTGTACACCTTTATTTCATATTTTACAGGAAACTCTGGTGACCTACATGGAGGAGGCTGTAGAGTGTTTTGAGAAAGCAGAAAGATATGAAGTTTTAGGAGACGTCTATAAACTAATTATACCTATGTATGAAAAATCTAGAGAATTTGAGGTATATTGTTTATGTAACAGCGTGCTAAATGTTTGAATTTCATTAATGGAAACAGATTACAAACAGATATTATTGAAAGTTCTTTTGTATCAATATGGGATCATGCAGCTTCTTATCAACTACATGTATAGTTAAATAATGGATTGCCATGTGACTGCTGTCAACCAATGAAAACATTAAAATTAAGTTAAAGCTGGAATTAAAAATGGTCATGGTTTAGTGGATTTTGTAGTTAACCCTCTGGATCACAGCAGTAAGCCACTTAAAATTCACTAGAGCACAGTTCAGCCACCACATTGTTCCTCAGATGGCTGTCAAGCAGTTTACTTGTATTCCTTTCACTTTTGCAAAGAACTGATCAGATAAACTTCCGTAAAAAAAAATAAAAACACATGTTAAATGATTTACATATTTATATAATACAGTTACTAACTTTATTTATAGAAATTGGCAGAAAGTTACAATATTCTGTCAGGTGCTTATAACAAAGTCGTAGAAGTGATGCAGTCTGGGAAACGTCTACTAGGAACATACTTTAGGGTGGCCTTCTTCGGACAGGTAAACAAACATAAAAAAATTTAAAATGTTTTTTTAAACAGTTTTGGATAGAGATTTTATGTTGATTTTTTAGCACAAGTAAGAAGTAAAATGAATATACATAGCTCCATAGACTAAAGAAAATCCATGTGTAAATCCTGTTTAGAAATTTGAAATATTTATGTTTCTCGATTCTTTAAAATACAGATTCTTGAGGTATGTAAACAAAATGTTAAAACCTTTTTTTTCCCAAAAAATGTTTATGTTCTTTTGATTGCAATCAGTTCATTGTTTATCTTTGTTAGAACAGATTTTCTTTTTTATAACATTTATGAAAAATGTTCACAAAGCTTTATTTTCAATATTCATTTTTTAGTAAATCAAATTTTTGTAAGTTTACCATTTTTGCAAAAGTACTGGTAAGTTATTTTAGGTTCTGAGCAAATATCTGTGAGCAAATATTGGTAAGTTATTTCTGGTTCTGAGCAAATATTGGTAATTTATTTTAGATTCTGAGCAAATATCAGTAAGTTATTTTAGGTTCTGAGCAAATATCAGTTAGTTATTTTAGGTTCTGAGCAAATATTGGTAAGTTATTTTAGGTTTTGAGCAAATATCAGTAAGTTATTTTAGGTTCTGAGCAATATCAGTAAGTTATTTTAGGTTTTGAGCAAATATCAGTTATTTTAGGTTCAGAGCAAATATTGGTAAGGTATTTTAGGTTCTGAGCAAATATCAGTAAGTTATTTTAGGTTCTGAGCAAATATCAGTTAGTTATTTTAGGTTCTGAGCAAATATCAGTAAGTTATTTTAGGTTCTGAGCAAATATCAGTAAGTTAATTTAGGTTCTGAGCAAATATCAGTTAGTTATTTTAGGTTCTGAGCAAATATCAGTTAGTTATTTTAGGTTCTGAGCAAATATCAGTTAGTTATTTTAGGTTCTGAGCAAATATCAGTAAGTTAATTTAGGTTCTGAGCAAATATCAGTAAGTTATTTTAGGTTCTGAGCAAATATCAGTAAGTTAATTTAGGTTCTGAGCAAATATTAGTCAGTTATTTTAGGTTTTGAGCAAATATCAGTAAGTTAATTTAGGTTCTGAGCAAATATCAGTAAGTTAATTTAGGTTCTGAGCAAATATCAGTCAGTTATTTTAGGTTTTGAGCAAATATCAGTAAGTTAATTTAGGTTCTGAGCAAAGATCATTAAGTTATTTTAGGTTCTGAGCAAATATTTTATTAATTAAGTTATATTTGAATTAATTATAATAACACTTATCTGTCTAAGAAATTAAAACTGATACATGTTATATTTAGTCTTTATCCTGTACAATGTCAATTGAATAGATTCTAAGTTATTGATGTTGAGGCTTAAATGGGCTTTCCCTAGGGACATATAACTGAGTGTAATTGACTGTGTTTTTCAAACAAAGGAAATGTGTTTCCTTGAAAGTTGCCAGTGACAATAGATACATCTGTACAAGTTATCGTACAGGTACACATTCGGACATCTTGTTTGACTGTGGCAGACTCTTTACTCTTTAGAATAGTAATTTTAAATACTTGAATTGTTAAAAAACTGCAAATTTTTTTCAAAATTTTTTAAAGCAGGACAAGTCCTTTTTAACAAACGTTTAGCAGGAAAATATGTGTTTATGGTTAGTGTGTACATAATAAAAGGTCTGTGGTACTACCCAGGTGCTCACCTGTCCCTGAAAACCATTCTACAACTGATGGGATGAAACTAAGTTCCCGAAAACCATTCTACAGCCGATAAGATAAAACTAAGGTCTTACTGCACCAGTATAAGTGAAATATCATCGTATGACCTTCACAATGTCAACGTAATGTAAAACTTAACTGGAGAAAATAGGAAACGTCTTGCATATTTTCAGTCATTTTTCGATGACGAGGACCAGAAACAATACATTTACAAGGAACCAAAAGTAACCAGTCTAGGTGAGCTGTGTGACAGACTGAAAACCATGTACGAGGGTAAATACGGCAAAGATAACGTCAAACTTATAAAAGACTCTAAAACTGTAAGTACAAGAAGTTGTGTCAGCTTGTTTGAGAATAGAGTAGATGGTTAGGGTATCTTATTACATTATTCATAATGCAAGGTTAAAAATTCTGACACTGATGTTTCAAAAATAAATGTCTGTTTGAATGTTCATAAAATATTTTTGTTTTGGTTTTCCTAAATTTTCTTCATTTCACCACTTAGAAAGTATTGTTTGCTTTTTCACATTGAATAAAGAGGATGTTTTGTAATAAGTTAAATTTTGACATATACTTTTTTCCTGATATTAATAAAGCTATATGTGTGTTTAAATGGATTTTTTCTCTGGGATATGCCTTTTATTTACTATCCATAATGATAAAAGTCAGGTACTGTCTTCTCTTACTGCTTTTTTTAGAAATGTACAAAAGTCATAAATATCTAAATTTCAGGTGGACCCTAATGACTTAGACAACAAATATGCCTATATACAAGTAACACATGTGACACCATTCTTCAAGGAGAAAGAGTTACAGAGACGTCTGACAGACTTCGAGAAGAACAATAATGTTTACTCGTTCATGTATGAGACACCTTTTACAAAAGTGGGAAAATCACACGGTGAAATACATGAACAGTTCAAAAGGAGAACAGTACTTCTGAGTAATAATTATGTTTATATTTGTGCCACTTTCGCATACTTTGTAATATAATGAAACTTATACCAAAACAACACATGACAATACATGCCATACACAGAATTTGGAACCATGATCTGTATTTTAGGTTCTTTTCAGGTCAATTATTGTAACAAGAAAGAAACATTCAGCTCAAACATATTTTATTTATAAATTTTACATAGCATGAATACAATAATTAACAGCATGTTAGGATTGTACAGGAAGCCATGAAAGCATATAAATTATCCAAGTAAAAAAAACCAATTTCCTTTGTTAAATCATGACAAGGGTTCTAAAAGAAAAACTGTTTGTCTTCAAAGACAGTGTTTTACATTTCCAGTTTACATGTTTGTATATTTTGACATGATTGCCTATTTTTAGTAATAAACTCATTATAATACCAAAAAAAAAATTGATTGAAACAACAAATTTATTATAAGGAATAAGTTACATGTACATTAAATGTAAAATTTCTTAGGAACAGAGTTACATAGGGAAATTAGTGTTGGTTTTTTAGAACAAAGGTTTGTTGATTTAAACCTTGGAGATGTTTTTGGTGACAAATGTTATTATTTTGTCATCCATCACCAATCGATGTGGAAAACAGGAAACAAAAAGTTGGCAGTATTAAAAATTTGAGTGTAACATCAACTTAAATATGTTCAATATATGTTAAAAAGCAAAACAAAAACAGGATGTTCTTGCAGATTTCCTAAGTATTTCTGTTTATAACAAAATACAAGCTGCCTAGCTTTCATTTGACATCACATTTTTTTATTCTTGTAAAAAAGCAATTAATCTGCAAACAAAGAGGTAAATGGATTTTAATTTTACACGGTTAACCGTGATTATGTTTGTAGAATGATAGTAATTTTAACAAAGTATTCTATAAGTAAATCTTATATTTATTTTAGCAACCCATTCTTTTCCCTTTGTTAAAAAGAGGATAGAAGTTAACCATAAAACGGAGTGCATTTTGAGTCCTCTAGAGGTGGCCATTGACGAGATGAATGCCAAGGTTGCAGATTTACGAGAGGTTGTCGATCTTGCCATGCCAGACATGAAAAAATTACAGCTCAAATTACAAGGCTCTGTTAGTGCTCAGGTATCCATAAAAACATCTTATTAATTTATTTAATGTCTAGATCAAAAGGAAAAATTAAGAAACATTGGAAATTGTGTACTAATATGTTATTAGCTCACCAGAGCCGAAGGCTCAGTGTGAGCTATTAGTATCAAAAGGGGATACTCCAGCGTCCGTCGTCATGCGTCAACAATCGTCTTCTTCTCTTAAACTGCTGGGCAGATTTACTTCAAATTTGGTCTGTAGCATCCTTGTGACAGTCACACTTGAATTTGCTCATGTCATTTCAATTGGCCCCTTTTAGGGGTCAACAGAGCTAAAAATAGAAAAACCTTTAAACACTACAGAACTAATTGATGGATGATCACCAAACTTTGTCTGTATCATTCTTGGGTAGTCTTTAATCAAGTTTGCTCATATTAATTTGATTGGCCCCTTTTAGGGGTATCTAGGGCTAAAAATAGAAAACCCTTTAAACGTCTTCTTCTACAGAACTAATTGATGGATGATCACCAAACTTTGTCTGTATCATTCTTGGGTAGTCTTTTATCAAGTTTGCTCATATTATTGTGATTGGCCCCTTTTAGGGGCAACTAAAGCTAAAAATAGAAATACCTTTAAACATCTATTTCTACAGAACTAAATGATAGATGATCACCATATTTTGTCTGCAGCATTCTTGGGTAGTCTTTTATCAAATTTGCTCATATTAATTTGATTGGCCCCTTTTAGGGGTCTCTAGAGCTAAAAATAGAAAGAAACCTTTAAACGTCTTCTTCTACAGAACTAATTGATGAATGATCACCAAATTTTGTCTGTATCATTCTTGGGTAGTCTTTTATCAAATTTGCTCATATTAATTTGATTGGCCCCTTTTAGGGGTCTCTAGAGCTAAAAATAGAAAGAAACCTTTAAATGTCTTCTTCTACAGAACTAATTGATGAATGATCACCAAATTTTGTCTGTAGCATTCATAGATAGTCTTTTATCAAGTTTGATCATATTAATTTGATTGGCCCCTTTTAGGGGCTGCTAAAGCTTAAAATAGAAATACCTTTAAATGTCTATTTCTACAGAACTAATTGATGGATGATCACCAAACTTTGTCTGTAGCATTCTTGGGTATGCTTTTATCAATTTTGCTCATATTAATTTGATCAGCCCCTTTTAGGGGCCTCTAAAGCCAAAAAAAGAAAAAACCTTTGAACATCATTTCCTACTGAAATAATTGATAGATGATCACCAAACTTTGTAGCATTATTAGGTAGTCTTTTATCAAGTTTGCTCATATTAATTTGATTGGCTCAAATTTAATATTAGAAAATTTTGACAATGGATAATTTCCAACACTGAAAAGCAGTTGTTTCTGGTGAGCGACTCAGGGCCATCATGGCCCTCTTGTTTTGAATTCCTTGATTGTGGGCAATTTATTGCAAATACCATAGGTGTATGAATATAATTAAGTTAACCTGAAAAAATATATTGCAAAAATCTTCACACAGTATATACATGTATATCTGAAGATATACAGTACCTTTGGAACTAAAATTTGTGTCCATGGTAACTTATTTACAAGAACATAAACATTGCAAATAAGCTGAGCTATGTTCTATCATCAGTTGTGAACTTGACATGGCCTTGAGTTGATAAAACTTTTTTCTTCAACTTTGTATCAAATCTCAGGATTTTCATTGGTTTGTGTACCAGTTTTTGACACCAATTAAATACCTAAATCTGAGAAAATTAACTTCTTATATCCTTGAACCCAGATGCAGTACCGGTAATTTGTCTTCCCTTTCATCTATATATGATTAACACTAGTATTGTTATATGTTTGTTCAGGTTCATGCTGGACCCTTAGCTTATGCAGAAGCATTCCTGTCAGAAGATAAAGTCAGTATATATCCAGCGGAGAGATGTGAAGCTCTGAAGAGTAAATTCAGGTACTGTACACACATGCTTCTACATCACTTTGATTTAAAAAGGAATATATGAGCCGCGTCATGACAAAACCAATGTAATGGGTTTGCGACCAGCATGGATCCAGACCAGCCTGTGCATCTGCGCAGTCTGATCAGGATCCATGCTGTTCGCTATCAGTTTCTCTACTTGTAATAGGGCTTGTAAGCGAACAGAATGGATCCTGATCAGACTGCGCGGATGCACAGGCTGGTCTGGATCCATGCTGGTCGCAAACACACTATGTTGGTTATGTTGTGAAGCAGCTCATATGGTATTTTAGACAGGTGGGTTAGTGGGTTTGTGCCTCTGTTCAGAAGAGGTTTATTTATATTATGTTTTATGGGGATAGCACAGGATGTACCTGTATATACATAAATTTAAAATGACATTGCTTATAAGACTTAAAACCTAACTGGTAAATCAAACAGAACGGAACAAGTAAACACACTTAACTTACTTAAATTCTCTTTGATTAAATAATGTTGGCATCACAGTTTGATAAACTGCATTATACTCTCCATTTACAGGGATTTTGTTAATGTTTGCAATGATGGACTAGATTTAAACGCCAAGTTGATAACAACGGAGCAGAAGGAGTATCACGAGTCATTGAAGACGGGCTTTAACGATATTGTGAGCAGATTATCAAAAATGTTTGGAGAAACGGTAAGAAAGTGTGATGTTATCATGTGTGCATGCTTCGTTATATATGTAGGAATATATCAAAGTTTGTGATGTTTTTCGTAATTATTGCATGATTTTAACTTTTCACATTATAGAAGTAGAAACCATATTTTTATGCTCCTCGAATTTTGCAATTAATCATAAAGTTGCCAGTTTATCCTTTCGGTCACACTTACTGAATATTTTTTTCTGGGCACCTGAATTGATTGCCAGATACTTGTGATATATGGTGTGTGTTGGTATATTCCATGGACCGATACCCTTGTGTGGGATTTCATGTAAATAGGGTCAAGGTCATTGTCACAGAGGCTAAAAATAGATTTTCCTACATTTGGTCATAGTAAGGCCATGTTTTGAGCTTTGTCAAAGAAATATTTTGGAAAATTCATTAGTAATACAGATATTCTAGTTTTTATTTTATTCAATCACATATCCTGTTACATGCAATATATCTTTGACTTATACTACAGACACATTATAGTTTAGATTGCCATTACAAAATCAATATTAAATTATTAACATTCCTTATAAAAATCTGTAAGATTTTATTTGATATATAGATGGTTTTATTTATTTAATTTTTTTTTTTTTTTTGGGGGGGGGGGGTTATGTCTCATCAAAGAAAGCTTTATTTATGGTTCAATGTGAATGACAAAATAAAATAACTGATTTCTTTTTTAAACCATCTGAATTTGTATAAACTAAAAAATAACTTTTTTTTCTTTCTTTTTTTTTTGTAATTAATATATATCTAATCATTGTTGTATTTAATGTATTTGATTTTAGGTACTAAAAACCTAGGTTTGTTCTATCATTACATTAAAGCAGTAGTTAACAGCTTTATTTTTGTGGTAATACAGTCAAACTTGTTGTTGGGGTTTAATATTAAATATATACAAAAGCTTGATTAAATTTACCTCGATGAAATAAACCAGTCATATTATATAAATTTACCACAGTGAAATAAATCAGTCAGATTATTGAAATTTACCACAGTGGATGGTAAGCTAGCCCAGATTGTTAAAATTTAAATTTGCCAGTGTGTATATAAGGCCTGACTTATTATTGAAATTTACCACTGTGGATGTAGGCAATCATATAATTGCAAAATCACAGTGCAGAAATATATATATATATCTCCCTTGATAATTATGTAGATTTCAGAATTTTAAATATACATAAGTTCATACATAGGTTATGGTGTTGAATTTATCCTCGTATTTTAATTTTCTAGCTTTACAGGGTATATTTAGAATAAGGTGATAAACAAATTAGGAATATTGCTTGCTAGTTTATGCAGGTTACTGGTGTGTGATGGTTTTTAAGTATTGATTTGTCATTTGTAATGATTTATTTACTGAGCCACTTGGGCAGAGTGGTTAAGGTTGTTGACTTAAAAACCTCTTGCCTCTCACCGCTGTGATTTTGAATCCCACTAGGAACTACTCATGTGCCTGTTTGCGCACGGACGGGCACCCGAGGTCTTCCTCAACAAGTAATGATGCCATATGACTGTTGTTGTGACAAAATCCCAACCAAAAGAGAGAAAAAACAACCTTTTTGGAAACAGGGTCTTATTAGAATTTTATGCAGAACTGACTGTTTATTTTAAATGGTCATATTTTAGGCAAAGTTTACAGAACAAATACATTATCTTAAATGTCCTTTATGGTCATGATTTTAGGCAAAGTAATTTATAACAGAACAAATACTTCATGAATGTCTTTTAAGGCAAGGTCTGTTGACATTATGGTAACTATCTAAAATGTCTTAGACTATGGTTATGATCCAAATCTGAGTTATTAGACAAATCTGTTTTTGTGGTCATGGTCATTGGTCTTTAAATGGGCATGGTTATTTGTTATGTCTCTTTAGCTCGACTATTCGAAGAATATGAGAGCTATTGTAGTCGCCCCGGCGTCGGCGTCAGCGTCCGCGTCTGCGTTGGTTAAAGTTTTTTGTAAAGTCAAATATCTCAATTATTACTTGAGATATTCAATTGAAACTTACAATACTTATTTATAGTAACAAGGTACATCAGGTTGACAAGTTGGATAACTCTGCCTACAATATTGACAGAATTATGCCCCCTTTTTACTTAGAAATTTTGGTTAAAGTTTTTTGTAAAGTCAAATATCTCAATTATTGCTTGAGATATTCAATTGAAACTTAAAATACTTATTTATAGTAACAAGGTACATCAGATTGACAAGTTAGATAACTCTGCCTACAATATTGACAGAATTATGCCCCTTTTTAACTTAGAAATTTTGGTAAAAGTTTTTTGTAAAGTCAAATATCTCAATTATTGCTTGAGATATTCAATTGAAACTTACAATACTTATTTATAGTAACAAGGTACATCAGATTGACAAGTTGGATAACTCTGCCTACAATATTGACAGAATTATGCCCCTTTTCAACTTTTGGTTAAAGTTTTTATGTAAAGTCGAATATCTCAATCATTGCTTGAGATATTCAATTGAAATTTAAAATACTTTTTATAGTAACAATGTACATCAGTTTGCAAAATTGCATAACTCTGCCTGCAATATTTGCAGAATTATTTGCCCATTTGAAACTTAGAAATTTTGGTTAAAGGTTAAGGTCTTCAAAGATATTTACTTGAAACTTTACACACGCACTAAAGGTCATAATTGGAGGGTCATAATTGTATGTCACTGACCAAGTTCCATAACTCTACTCGCATTTAGGCTGATTCATCTCCCCTTTTCTACTTAGTCTCTAGGTTAATGTTTACATGCAAGTTTTACATATCTCAATAACTATTAAAGATATTTATTTAAAACTTCACATATGCATTTAGGGTCATAATTGTAGGTCACTGACAAACATCCTTAATTCTATCTTGCATTTAGGCTGATTTTTCTCCCCTTCTTCAGCTTAGAAATTCATGGTAATGTTTTGCTTGTAAACTGTTCATAGTAAAGTTTTGCTTGTAAGCTGTTAACTCAGTAACTTCTGAAGGGTTTGTGCCTTTTTTGGGACAATTTTATGCATTCATAATAATAAAGCAGTGATTTACTTGATAAAACATCTTAATAACAAGCCTTTGTACCTTTTCTGTCAAATGTATGTATTCATAGGTAATTAGTATTATTATACTCAATAAAACACCCTTGTGACATTACCTTCCAAATTGTCAAGCCAATACTGTATAATTAGACTCTCCCTAAGGCCTATGACATGAATTTATAAAAAAAAATTAGCCCTTTTGTGAACTTAAAAAATTTAACATTATCAAGACTCTTTTACTATAATCAAGCACTTAGAATAGTCGAGCGTGCTGTCCTACCGACAGCTCTTGTTATATATGTTATGTCTTTTTATATATTTATGGTTATGGTCATGTTTTATTGCCATGCTGGTCTGGATCCATGCTGGTCATGTTGGTTTTGTCATGACGCGGCTCATTAATGTCTATCATGGTTCAAGTTTTAATCATAAAGGATTTTCATGTGAAATCAATTTATGTAAACTGAATATTGTGGATTTTATGGACAGGGTTGACTGTATTTTTTAAATGTCTATTATACAGACAAGTTGCTGGTAGGTAAAATTGTATATATTTTTTGCTGTGCTTCCTAAAACACTAAAATTAACATGTGACTATAGTTTTATAATTAATATCTAAAATCCCTATCTGAATACATTAGTGTAATAGAAATGACTACAGAATAGGGGGTGGGGGTGTCCTTTCTAGTTTGACTATTCGACACACTTTGGTTAAGTTTTTGCATGCAAGTTGGTACCTCCAAAACTATTGAAGGGGATGTTCTTTGTGATAATTATCCATGATGGGAACAGATCTGGGTCACCTTTTCCCTTTTCTGACTGTCAAGAACTGTGTTAGACTATGTGATGAAAAAATGGGTTTTATATGGTTAACTAAAGTGCTGAGATTAAATGAAAGACCTCTTTTCTGTTAGGGCATCTAAGGTTAATAGGACATCTAAGGTTAATTATATTGCTGTTTATAACAAGAGCTTGGGCATGACTTGCAAAGAACAGGTTAGCTTGGATTAATTTTTTTAAAATTTTTCCTTGTTTAAGTTTGTTAAAGGGAGGAAGAGGGTTATAGGTTAACGCATATGATACACTATTTTAGCATTAAATTGGTAAAATTGTAAGACAGAAACTTTCATGTGTGATATTCCAGTTTTGTGCCATATTAAAACAGTTAAAATTAATAGTCTTATTGAAATCTTAATTAAAGAGTTCAGGGGTTACTGTATAGTTTCCCATTATTGCCCCCTGAGTCATGCGTGTTTGTGATCACCGTCTTAGTTTGAAGTGTATGATACAGTAAAATATTGTTGAGTACTTTATTGATAATTATGATAGTAGTTTATATAACACATATGATTTAGTTTTTAGCTGGACTATACGAAGTATATGGAGAGCTGTCCTACTCGCCTCGGCGTCCGCGTCCAGATTTCAGATTAAAGTTTTTGTGCAGTAAAATATTTTTCACTGTAACTTTGTCATTTCTTAAGGTATCAACTTGAAACTTCAAATATATGTTCCTTATCATCAACCACATCTTATGTGACAAGGTTCATAACTTTAGTACCAATATTTTCAGATTTATCTTCCCTTGAACTTAGAACTTTCCTTAAAAAATACTTTTTTTTACTGTTATTTCTTCTTGGATCAACCTCATACTTCAAATATATGTACCTTATCATCATCCACATCTTATGTGACAAGGTTCATTACTCTAGCACCAATATTTTCAGATTTATCTCCCCTTGAACTTAGAATTTTCCTTAAAAAATATTATTTTTTACTGTTACTTATTTATTTCTAAAGGGATCAACTTCATACTTCAAATATATGTACCTTATCATCATCCACATCTTATGTGACAAGGTTCATAACTCTAGCACCAATATTGCAAGAATTATCTCCCCATAAACTTAGATTTTTTTACTAGAAAAATGTTATTTTTTACTATAACTTTTTTAGTTTTAAAGGTATCTACCTCAAACTTCAAATACTTATTCCTTATCATCAATTACATTTTATGTGACAATGTTCATAACTCTTGAAGCAATATTTACAGATTTATCTCTCTTTGAACTTAGGATTTTCTTTAAGAAATATTATAACTTCTTTACTTTTTAAGGTATCTACTTCAAACTTCAAATATATATTTCTTATCATTACACACATGTTGTGTGACAAGGTTCATAACTCTAGCGTGACTATTTCTAGAATTATTCCCCTTGATCTTGGAATTTATGTTAACAAATGTTATTTTTTTACTATAACTTAATACATAATTATACATAATTGATTTTTCTTTCATAGTTTTATCCTCCTTACTGCGTCCAGTATTTTATGAGTTGAGCTTCGCTGTCTCCTGTGACAGCTCTTGTTATGTTTATTTACAATACATTATTTACGCCTAGTCTTTTGTTTTCATTTATGTAGTTTAAATAGTACAACTAATTTAGTTTATAGTTTATGAAAATGAAATTTATAGAAATATTGTATGTAGAAATTTAGATAGTATAAATAAATATATAATCTTCTACTGTATAGAAGAGATATTCAATGTATAATTCTCCTGAATAGGAAATATATTTTATTTAAGACCTATCTACATTACATATATTTAGTTTTCATTTACCATATGAAGTTTACAGTATTATTAAAACTTTATCTCATAGTTTATTACGGTCAATACATGTTATATAGTCCATTTTCAATCTTGTTTATTTCATTGGTTTAGATACTCATTTAGGGATTTGAACAGCTAAATATTTGTAAGATGCTGTTGCAATATTTAGAACTTTTTAATACATTCCATAATCTTATTGGTATAGTTATAAATACTCTGTACTTAAAATATAATAGCCAAAATTGTTTCTATTTTTAGTAACAATGTGCTTAGAATTAGTAACAAACGTCATAAAGCGTAGCCGGTTATTTTTAGTACTTTAATAGATAGATTTTTTATATGAAATGTTCTGATGAAGAAAACTAGTAGACAACCATAAAATATTGCAAACTTGCCCTGGTGTTGACGTGTATTACTCTTTATTTTGAACTTGCATTGGTTGATTAAAATATAATAATATAGCATAATTTGTAAAAAAGCCTTGGAGCAAAATGGCACAAATGTAATGCATATGCTTTAAGTAGGTACTACATGGTGAGGCCAGCTCTGACCAGGCTGTATACATGTACATGTTGTTTTATTTTGTGCTTGAAACACCCCTATAGTTACCAATAGTGCAAATTCAGGCTAAGATAGGACCATTGTGTAAAATCGTCAGAAAAAGTGCTCCATCTAAAAAAAAAAAAAATGTTTTTGTTTTTCTAATCACAGTTGACTGATGTTCAGTAAGCTTTCATCTGCTTGTGGATCATTGTCAACATTAAATTAACTTGATTTTTTCATGTTGCTGTAAGCTGTAACAAATAATTCAAAGTTATTTCATTATATATATTTTTTTTTACTGTTTCTTTGTGTTTCAAGATTGATATACTCATATTAAATAAAAACTGTTATAAAGATTATGTTGCTGTTATTTACATGTTAAAAACAATATATATCATATATATTACAGATCCTGACGAAAGACATGGAAGGTCAGCAGCGGGGGTCAATGTCTGTGTTTAACCTTGTGACTGGCCCAGGATCAGGGTCAAGTGTGGCATGAACCCAGCCAAAGCCAGGAACCTTGTCATAACCTAGAATAAACCTTGAATTAAAGATCTGATATAAATTCTGTCAATGTTTGGATTCAGTTGAATTTCAATTTAGCTGGCATCCAGTATGATTTTTAAACCATGCCAAAACTGGATTAAGTTGGATTTATACTGGATTTTAAAGCTGGGCACTAGTAGATCTTTGAAAAGCATGAGGGCTGAGCTCTTATAGTACTTGATCTGTGTTAAAACTGGGATCAAAAAGGATGTTTAAAGTGGGAATTCAACAAGTCTTGAACATGGATAAAGCTGCCATTGACCCTGCTTGTATACGTCGTACAACACCTATAGTAAGCTAAGATTGAGAAGGACTAGGATATTGGTTCATAACATGCAGCAAACATAGCTATAGTGTCATTGTTTAATCAATTTTTCCCTCCTAACCATTTGCATGCCATATTGAATATTTGAAATTTGCGGGTATATTTTGACAGTTTCCATAGATATAATTATAGTCTTCATATGTAATAGATGTGCTGTAGTAATTTTGATCGAAGGACTTATCAGAGTATGTGATATCGGAATGTTTTAAAACGACATTCAAAGGCATTGATGATGTAATTTTGGTCATTATTTTAACATGTGATATGTTATACTAGTAAATTAACATGTATGTTACTTCTTTTTACATTGTTGCATGTATACATGTATTTAAGTTTAGACATTTTTGTGGAGTTTTAACTTAACATTTTTTTTTGTTATCAATTTTTTTTTTTTTTTTTTTTTATGTGTATGATCAAAATGTTATATCAGATATTTTCATCCGAAAATCTGGCAACATTTTAATGAATTTATCGATGCTGCTTGAAGTCACTGGATAGTTTGACAGGCCTTCCTTCTATATACATATTTATCAAGATATTTGGTGAGTTAGTACCTTCTGTGAATCCCGACATTTTGCAGGAGTTTCAAGTCAATAGGGTCAAGGTCATTGAGGAACTGTTGGGATCATAGGCTTTCAAAGATTTTTTTTTTGCACTGTTCAAATGAAAAATATGAGTTTATGAACCAGGTTTTCAATGTTGAAAATTTGCAGAGTTGCCAGAAGATTCCTTTAGGATTTTGCAAATTCCTCATTGTCTGTACTGTAGATTAGCTTTTGGGTTAACCGTTTCCTAGAGTCAAGGTCACTGTTACTAAAAATAGAATAATGATTTCTAGTTTGAGAAGATGGTTTCATGGCATTGAAATGGTTCTTGTTTAAGTATACTATACAGATTCTTCATAAGAAAATCATTAAAAAAATATTTCAGAAGGATTTTGTTGCCTTCTTGCAATATCTGACTGAGAAAATCTTTGATTTATTGTTAAGAATATTTCAGATATTTTAGTGATAAAGTTATTTGCATTTATTAACATTTTTTTGTGACAACCAGTCATTTTGCCATGTTATATTATTTAATATTAATGATATTATCTATAAATAATTATACCTGTTATTAGCTAGCAAGTGTGTTAAAACTAGTTTACTTTATGTATAAGAAATATAATTTATCCAAACATTGTCATTTTCATAATAATTATTTTTATTCCATATATGATGTTATAATAATATAATTGCTATAGTAACTTCAAAAACAAAAATATAATCAGGTTGCAGTTCTGGTTATGAGTATGAGCTTCAGTAAGGTATGCCTATGTTCTGTCACAAGTAGAACTAGCTTAATAAATAAATCAGGCATGGTACAGTTAAACATTATGACATTTTATACCATCAAGTTTAAATAACTATTCTTAAAGGGCACAGCGGTTTATTGACATGACAGACCTGGAAATATTTTTTTGATATTTGTGAACCAATTGATGTAGGTCTGGGCAAATAACTTGTGTGCAATTCTTAAGGTCATTTCCTCACCTCATTTTTACAGAATTATAATTTTTACTGTGATTTTGACCCCAAAGTAAAAAACATTTCAACGCTTTTCAATCAAATCTGGCTAAGAATTGGACAAATTATTGATTTTCAATTTAACTTTCGAGTTTATATTTCTTTCTTTTCCATGATTGCAGATTTTTCCATTTTAGATGCTTCTATTACTATGTCTTAAGATTTTCAAATTTTATGATTTTAGGCATTTTGACCTCAGTGGAGTTCCTTTAAACTAACATTATGACTTCTTCTAAGTATCAAGTTTAAAAAATAATGAACATTTGTTGTGTTTTAATGCAAATGCATGATCTATGTTTATTCATAAAATGTTAGAAATTTATTATTCATTATCTTTTCCATTAAGCATCAGATCATATTTCGGCATGAATATGGTGTTAAAATTTTTAAATAAGATGATATTTATTGTCATGGTGTAGATATGCTCATTTACCTTTAAGAAGGGAAGTTGGAAAAGTGTTTATGTTTAATAGGATACTGAAGTAAGTTGCTGAATTGTAGGGTTATCAAAAAAAGTTCACAATGAGTAAATAACGCTTGTGCTAAAACTGTTGGATAGTTTTTTTTATAGTTTTGGCCGTTACAAAAAAAAAGAATTTGAAGCAGAAAGAGGGAGATATGGAGATGCTGAGGTTTGTAAAAAAATTACCCTACAAAGACATAGATCTGTGATATTTTTGTTGCAAATTGCCTTTCTTTGATTTATGTTAAATGGCTGAAGTATGCCTGTATATTTTATTATAGTTTTGTGAATACATTTTAACTTAGTGTGTGTACATGTATACATGTATATATGTATATATATAATTATGCATTTGTATTAAATAAGCTATATAGATTTTTGCTTCTTTTGCATAATAATGTACGAGTATATATATTTAAAGGTAACCAAACTAGCAATATCAAGGAGAATTAATGCTGAAACTTATTATATGTATGTTTGTTTTGAACTTGTTAAATTGTAAAAAAATTCATGATAGAATGTATAGCGGGCAAAGGTATCAAAACATGTCTATATGTGTTCCATGTTCTGTCTTATATACAATTGTATATGATGATATAAAACCAGTTCCTTTTGTGTATGATTCCTCCTTGAAATGGTGGGTAAAGGTGTTTCAAGATTTATTTTATCAGAGCTTAAGTGTATGAGTATTTTAAGTTTATACTATAACCAAGATTGTGTCTTTTCTTGTTAACCCTTTAACCTCCTGACTTTGTGTAATGGGTTTGTCCTGCATTGAATTTGGAACAGTTCATTTGAATTTTAAGTGATTTCAGGATTTCATAAACAAATATTTGAAAGTTGAGCAACAAACAAAAATAGAGCGGGCAATTTGCACATCATAAGGCTGGCCTGGTTTTAAAAACCCGGGGAAAAGGGAAATAAACGGGTCCGTTTCGGGACGTTTGAGGGCTCAAGTTACACTCTTTTATAGAAGTGACAAATATTTTACCAGAATTACCGATTAATGAAAATTTATATCTGTGGTTTTAATAATGGACAACATTTGCCTCATTAAAACATTTGTTTCATTTAAGTTTCATGATTGCAATATTTGATGTTTGGTAAATTATACTATAGTGTGAGTTACTGTCATTTTGCCCCATTCACTTATTATGAGGGGCAAATGAGGTCTTTCTTTACCAATGAAGCTGACAACTTCTCGCTGTCAAATGATTTTAACAGTGTCTGTGTAACTTAAAACCAAGATTCTGTATAATTTAAAAACAGTCAAACAAATATTTGTAATGTACTTAACAGAATTTTATACAGTAAGGAAGATTAATTTCTGTGAAAACTTCAAGGGCTTTTATTGTATTACATAAGAAATAAGTAAATCATCTGATTGAGGTCTGACAGAATACAGTACATAAAAATGTCAACTAAATACTACCATACTAGATATTACTGTATAGAATTATACAGTACATGATAAATATGAACTAACTATTATGGTAAAGTTGGTGGACTTAAAAGAATAATATACAACAGTTTTGTCAGTAACTCATAGTAAGAATACCATTATCATATACAGACCACACAAAAAAATGGCTTTTGATTATGTTTCATGCAAAGTAAACAAAATGTTTTTGTTTTTTTTGTTGTTTGTTTTGCCTTGAAGAAATTGTTGTAAATGTATTGCCTATTATACATTACTGTTAGTAACTGATTTATGTAATGTTCACTTTATATCTTTGCAGAAAAATAAAGAAATTTTGATACTTATTTATTTATAGTCTTTGTTTCTTACACTCTTTGGGGTCATTTAAATAGAATGATCCTGTTGACTTCAGTTTAATAAGTTGCCATGGTAACAAGTATACATCTATCATCCTTGTCAGGCTAATGTAGAAAAACAACAAAGGGAAATTTTACTCAAAGTCAATGGAAAGAGTTATAATTTTCTTTAAATCATGCTAGAGTTATGAATGACCTTCTAGAAAATTGTTTTTGTGTAAATAAATTATAGAATTTTCATCCCCTTGACATTTTTGCAGTGTCAGTCCTTCAGTTGACTGTTGTTGTTGTTCTTTCCTTCCTACCTTGTTAACACTTTATGTCTGGTCCTTTAAATTCGTTATCTATGGTTACATTCTGAAATAATTTGCAATCACACAGAAAAAATTGTCATGCGAATGACCCTTGTCTAGCTCAAAGGTCATGGTCACACTGACTTTAAATTATATTTTATCAAAGTGCACCGATGGTTCTGTTAGTTCAACAGTTCAGTCATTCCTGGATGGCTTTTTTAAATAAGTATGCATAATGTGTTGGACATGATAAAGGCATATTTTGCACAAGAAGCCAGTGCCTTGCTCAAAGCTCAAGGTCACATTAGTCTTATACGTTCAAATTCATATGGATTTTTAAAACAAGTGCATTGATGGTTGTGTCCACTCAACAATTGTGCCATATATGGATTGATTTTAAAATACCTTGGCATTAATATATTGGACATCATGTATTGCGCATAATAGTCAGATCTTAAAGGTCATGGCCACATATGTACTCTTAAGGCAAAGTCATGATGTGAAGTTTTTCACAAAAGTGCATACATAAATGTGTCTGATTCTGTTTATTCCTGGATGGATTTTAGAATAATTTGGCATGAATGTATTTGCTATAATGATAACCTGTCAGAAACAAGACTCGTGTATCCGTCTATGTCATAAATTTACATTCAAAGTCTTAATAAGATTTTAAACAGATGGTTGTGTTTCGTTGATGATTTTGTCATTTGGGAATGGATTTTGAAACAAGTGGTAAGCAGATTAAGTTAATGTGTGGCACATTAAAACAAGGTTTGAAACCCAAAAGTCAAGGTCTTACCATGTATTGGTTGGATGTCAAAAGATCATGTTCCATAACTGAGTCCAATTGGAGGGCAGTTGTCTATTCCCAATGACCGGTCTTGTTTCCTTCTATAGCACCTGGTCCATGTAAGGGCTACTTCCACTCAGGAAAAAACTTGCAAAATCATGCAGTGTTCCCCTAAAATAAAACTTTTTTTCCTTCCCCTGTTGCAAAAATAACATGCTTGTTCCCGCCAAAATTGCAGACCCTTCTCCTATTTGTAAGAAAAAAGCTCTGCATTCAGTTTTGGTGGATATTCTCCTTGCATGTAAAACTTTAACCAGAAATCTCAAAGGGCTTTAAGTCATTAAGTCAAAAGCCAGGCAATAATTATGGGTCTTGGCTGTAGACCTTCTGCTATGAACCACAAAAATTTATGTGAAGTGTCAACTGAACACCTTAATTTGGTTCAAAGATAAATCTTGCATACATGTATGTAGTAGTCTGATGTACTTGCGCCGTGTATTTAGATCATGGATGTTGCAGAGAAGGCAAAAAACAGTGATCTCCGTCGTTGCTGACTCAATAAGACGTTCTGGTCATTTGCATGGATATAGAATTATGCGACAGCGATGCTTAGCCAATGGATTAAGAGTTCGAATCCAAGATATTGCTACCATCCTACGTATATGTGATCTTATGGATAAGCACGATCTAATTGATCAAAATATTATTTCAACCACTGAATTTGGTGTATCGCAAACCTATTTATCATTAAATCGACTGTGTATAAACTTAGATAGTGTTCATAAGCACGGGGTACCCATATAGATACGCTGATCCAGATGTGCCCAATAACAGCATATATGAAAGAGAAAATAGGTTAATCACAGGGTAAGATTTCAACTTATTTCTACTCTCTGACTTTTCTCTATGATTTAATGCCCATTTTTGTTCCGGATTTTTATGCAGTCTTCATCGAGAAATTCTTTCCATCGTATAGGTTCTGATGTGAAAAACATGTACCTTAACGGGCTCGAAATACAGTTTTTTATGAAATCTTAGCACCGAACTATGCTTAACATTTAAACAAATATTTACTGAAACATTTATTGAGATTTGGCTCCAAACGAAGGAATCACCGGTCAAAATTCCAACTGAGCTCCATATGTGCTAAGGTGCATGATATATAATCATCAACATGATTACGGCCACTTCCATAAAGCAATTAATGTGGAATTATTTTTTGTAACATATTTAATTAAAACTGAGCTTCAATAACATCATCTATAAAGAAAAAGACATTCAGCATACTAAAAAGATTGATTGTACCTGTATTTGGAATTCCATGATTATTTCAAACGTTTAAAACAGTTATAAAAATGATGTTTGGGGAAGTAAAATACGCCCCTGTGACTTGTTTCATTAAAATTATTTCAAATTATTCAACACTTTGGTACAATATTCATACCGTACAGTCAAATGTGAAGACAACCGTTCAACGTACCGACAGCCGTACTAGTATACATGTACATGCATACACATGCTGGCCAATATTCCTGTAATTTTTCATGACTACATGTAGGTCAAATAAATTTTTTGCTTAGCGTTGAAAATTGCGAATTTATACTTTATACTAAGTCAAGTGCAATATCTTTAAGGTGATTCTGCTTTGTCAGCCATGTTTGTTTTCACTATGTGGGTCCAAAGTGAAAGTAGGCCAAAATTCATATAACAAAAAAGCTCACATTGTTATATGATGAGCCATTTGCAAGTACGCTTCCAGTTCTATGTTTTAAAGACTATTTTAAACAAAAATAAAAATGATAACAATAAGAATATTTACCTTGAATGTGCTACATTTCTGAAGACCAAAAACATTCTGTTGCAAAGTTTTAAGCACATTTCATGAATGGCAAAACCCTTTTTAAAGTCTGTTTTTGCCTACAAAAGCTTTTTTTTGCAGAAAATACAAAAAAAAACTTAAAAAAACATAAATCTTAGGAGAGTAGTTTATCTGACCTTGAAAAAACATGGCCACCATGACATGTGTAAAAAAGTAGTACCATGAAAATAAACATCATTTACCTATTTCTTGTGTACATGACAAACAGACACACTTCACTGTTACACATAAAAAAGTTTAGATTTTAAAGTTCGATTGTGTTATCATTTTAATTGAAGTTCATAAGGCTATAAATGATGATTGTTTTCTTGCACTACTTTTTTACAAAAAATAATGGAGGCCATGTGCTTAGAAGGACATGAG